TGACCTGCCTTGGGGTCCTTGGCAAGTGTGATTGAGATTAAGTGGTCCCTCAAGCCTGTGGGTACTGAAGTCATTAAAGTATGAGACATGCTCTGGACACAGACATATGGGAGGAGCATCATGTGACACTGGGGTCTGCTGTAGCAGTGATGCTGTTATAAGCCAAGGTGTCATTGTCCCATGCTGAGAGGAACAAGGACCAGCTGCTTCTTCCAAGTCCCGCCCCCCCATCACTTGACTTTGGACTTCCGGAACTGAGAGACGACACACATGTGTTGCTTTACGCCACACAATTTGGGGCATCTGTGTGGGCAGCCCTAGGGCACCAACACTGGGCCCCGAGGGTGGGCAGGTGGGTAGTTGGTTGGCAGTGTTGCCAGAAGGACTCAGTCCCAGCTCTCCAGAGCCATTTCTACCACCTATGCAGGGAAGCCCATTACATGACCTCAGTCGCTTCCATGGTGTGATTACCTGAGGCCTTACCCTTCCTGCCATTGCTGGGTGTGCTTTCTGTTCCACTTCACCAGCGAGTGCCAGATGCGGCTCCATCTACTCCCTAGAGAGGCCTTGGCAGAGACGCCTGGGTGAGCACTACCCCGAGGTCCTCTTGTGGGGTCCACGGTCACCTCAGCTCTGACCTGCCTCTGCTGATCTTCTAACCTTGGCTGGAAAACATGGGCTCCCTTGCCCCATTGTCTTCCTTCCAACCTCCTCTCTGCCCTGGCAAATCCCTGCTATGGGCAGAAGACTCCATCATGAGGTCATAAGGCCTAGAGCCAGGCAGAAAAGCCGGTGGGTCCTGTCGCCAGGGAGACTCTGGCCTAACACTCAAACACCTGTGATCATCACCTGCCTCTTAATCGGTTTAATCCCCAGGAGACTCAGGAAGCAAAGAGAGGATCAATGTCTTCTAGAACTCTCAGTGGAGGTGGCAGCTCTCTGTGGAGGTGGCAGTGATTTGCTTTGGGTTGCCACCTTCTGTTCGCCTAAAGCCAGGGTCCTGGGGCAAGTGCTCTGGCCAGATGGACCCACATTCCCATGGGTGTCTTGTCACATGACTGCAGCTGTCTCCTACTTCTCCAGTTACCTGGGAGCTGCCAGTAGAATGGTGGGGCACTCAGGGAAGGACCGAACATGAGCAGCACCTGCTGCCTCTCCCAGAACCCCTGTCCCAGTTCCTCCCCCAGACGCAGTGCCCCTGCACACATCCTGAGCTACTGGCCTTCACAAGCACCCATGCTGGGCAGTGACTGCTGCTGTGCCATCCCAGACAGCAGCTGAACCTCAGTACAGGACAGGAAAGTGAGCTGGCACACGACCTTCAACTTCAGTCTTCCCCAGGTCCAGGCAGGGCTGCTCCCCAAACTCTTCCCGGAGTCCACTGATCCTGAGATATTTTAAATGACTTCTCATTTTTACAGACTCAATTCTTTCTAGCCTTGTGAAGTCTACTGTGTATAAGTTGCAACAAATTAGCCACTAATTCTATTCTCATATTTTGAATGGTTTAGTCAGCTGACTCTCCATCATTTGTGGTTATTTATTTCTTCCTCAATCTGATCTGAAATATCAGAGTAGCCAGAATTTAAATTCTAATTATTGCAAACTCAAGCAAGCTTCCAGAATTTATTTTTCCATTTATTTCTTGAGCTCTTGGTACCAATATCATACTGTTTGGTCCCTTTAGTTCTTTATTATTTTAGTATGTGTTTTGTAGTCACTTACTTTTTCAAAAAAGATTTATTTATTTAAAAGGCAAAATTATGGAGGGTGGAGGGAGATAAAGGGTAGGTGACGAGAAAGAGAGAGAGAGAGAAAGAAAGAGAGAGATCTTCTATCACTCTCCAAATGGTCAGAACAGTCCATCAGGGCTGGCCAGGCCAAAGCTGGGAGCACAGACTTCCATCTGGGTTTCCCTTACTGACAGCAGGGATTCAGGCAGTCAGGCCTGGAGCTGTTGTTTTCCCAGGCACATCAGCAGGGAGCTGGCTTGGAAGCAGAGCAGCTGGGATGGGGCAGGGCACTCCTGTATGAGATGCATTTGCAGGAAGTGTCCTGTTCACAAATTGACATGCCCAGGTAACAGCTCTCAAGCTAACAGAGAAAATCCCCTGCCCAGGGAATGGTTCTGACACTTGCCAGGCAAGCCCAATTACTTCAGGGTAACATTATGACCTCTTTAAATAACCCCCCCCCCACACACACACATACAATGTCACACCTTGAAGCCCTCAGTGTTCTGACTTCAATATAAAATTTTGGGGAATATACAAATTAATCCATAGCGTGGTTACAAGGTGGGAACAGAGGAGATGCTTTGGCCTGGGTGTAGGACAGCACTAAGCTATGACTGGGGTCTGGTCTCTGGGGCTTCTCATGCTCCCCAATCCCTGAAAGCCCAGCCTGTGATGACGTGAAAGGGGCAGGAAGGGGCATGTCTGGAACCCAGCAGTTCAGTGGTCCCTTTCCTAGTAGTTCTACCTTCCATGCTCATTAGTAATAGTAACCACACACCAACAAGGACAGGGCAACTAGGCTCAGCTGCCTGCCTGCCTACCTGCTTCCCTCCTGGGGAACTTCCTGGTCAGTCCTGGAATGGATGGATTTATGGAGAAGGAAGTCCAGCAGGAGACTCAGAGAGGATGAAGTGCTGACGGTAAGTCAAAGAAACTTAGCTGGGGAGGAAGGATGAATCTTGACCCAGTTGCTGCAGTAACTCTGAATTTTCTCACAAGTCCTCTTGTCTTGTTTCATATGGGAGAGAACAATTGGTGACTGGTGATTACCTTGCAAAGAACTGTGGCACTGGATATCAGACACACACATGCACATACTACTGGCGATCCATTGGTAGCACCAGCAAAGGATACACAGGAAGGGCATGTGAGGCCCTGAGTGTATAGACACTCTCCAGCCTTCTCAGGTTCCTCATACATTGCAGTTTCCTACTGCAGTCCACTGACTCTGCGATGGTCCAGACAGCCCCATCACAAGGGGTGGGCTCCAGGAAAGCGCCATCTTCCCCTTTACAGAGCTAATACAACTGGTTTTGTGATCCACGTTTCTGGTTTCTTTCATTCGAAGGTAATGCCACACGGTGAGATGCAGGACCTAGTTTTATATGTAGAGGATAAGGCTCGGGAGTTGAGCCCCAAGCAGGTGCCACCTAAGCAGTGAGGAACAGGAAGCTGAGCTAGGGAGCCAGCTGGGTAGCCAGGTGCTTCTTCTTTCTCCTTTCTTCTGGTTGTTCCTGGACAAGGTTGCTCCATATACACTGTCCAGAGACATCTTGCTCAGTGCTGCCCCACAAGCTGAGTCTTTCTGTGCCCTGTAGAGTGCAGCCCAGCAAACGCTCAACTTCTATTGTTTTCTATTCTGTCTTACTCCCTTAGAACTGCACAACCCCCAAACACGCATCGACATTCGCTCACTGTCTGAGGGTCTGTTTCCTAGGGAACTGGAGCTGGGACAAGCACGCTGAGCCAGCCTGGATTCCAATGAGTGGCAAACAAATATGATATGTTTATGTCTGGGGCCATAACATGGCATGATTTTAGGTGTTTTTTAAGGTTCTTTGTTTCCCTTTTGCTTCTGACATAAGCCCAAGAAAGACAACTCCATTCTACCTTTAAAGATAAGGCTCTACAGGAGGGGACCCCAGAGTGGAGCAGGTGAACAGGAGGAGGCTTGAATCCCGACCCTGAAGACTCCCGGATCCTCACCAAGGACTATCAGTACGGGCACCAAGGACTACATCCCAACTGCCAAGGAGACCATGGGGAATTGGAGTGCCTTCAGAGGTCGAGAACTCTGAGGTTACAATAAGGAAGCTTGGCACACAGGCAGCTGTTCCCCATGTAATGTGGCCAGATGCTCACGAGCTGCTTAGCAGATGTGGGAACCTTCCTAGTAGATTCCCAAGTCTTCAAAATTGTGACATATGTTTTCTAAGAGATTTATTTTTATCTATTGAAAAATAGAGTATCAGGGTATGAGGGAGAAAGAAAGAGATTTTGCACCCTCTGGCTCACTCCCCAAATAGTTGTAATGGCTGCTGTCAGCCAGGCTGAAGGCACGATCCCAGAACTACATGTGGGAGAAGGGGGCCAAGCAGTTGAGCCATCCTTCACTGCTCTCCCAGGTGCACTAGCAGAGAGTTGGGTCAAAAGTGGAGCAGTGGGGACTTGAACTGATACTCTGATAAGTGATGCCAGCATTGCAGGCAGAAGCTTAGCTTGTTGAGCTATAACACAGGCTCCATGCCATAACTTGTTTTCTGTATAAATACGCAATCTTGACTATTTAGTCAGTCATAACAGCAGAAAATGGACTGAGATGTTAGGTTTTCACATCAATGTGACCGGGATCCTAGTACGTGTCTTCAGTCTGATGATCAACAGCAGGGACACATAGGGTTATGCCTCGGGAGTGGTGACTATCGCCACAGCGACTCCTTGCCGTCACTGCTCCTGGCATTGCTGTAGTTGCCATGCAACGGCAGCATCCGGGATTCCCTTGGCAAAGCCCCAGATGGGACTTCAACCTGAAGACAGCCTAATTGAAATGAGATCAGGCTCTCGTGTTCTGCTAAAAGACTAACCCATGTGGGGCTGGCGCTGTGGTATAATGGACCACATGTCCATGGGCCCTCAGATCTCTAACCCTAACTCCCTAGTACTCCACTGGGGACGTTTGGAAGCAGATCATGCTTAGGAAGGTTTTGCTATCTCTTTCTAGAGGAGAAAGGTGGCTTGAATATCTTCATTGTTCAGACCACACAAGGCAAATTACAGGGGCAATTTTCCCAGCCTGTGTGCACCCCAGGCAGCAGAGACATGGAGAAAATTCTGGGGGAGCGGGGGAGGTGACATGAAAGAGGTGAGCAAAATCCAGCACCACAGCTCCAGGCTGGCCTGCTTACCTGCCTGCCTCCCTCGTGGGGAGCTTCCTAGTCAGTCCTGGAATAGATGGATTCAGCTGATGGAATTAGACAACAAGGCTTTCATGAGCCATGGACCACTTTTATTGTCAGTAAGAAGCAGCGATACCTGTGAGATGATCCGCTAGAGAAAAGACCATCAGGCTGTATAAGAAAATATCAAGTACAAAACTGTTAAACCAAAAATAAAATAAAAAAAAAGACTGATGAAAAGGTTCTTCCTTTAAGTGCTAGGATTTAGGAAAAAAACGAAATAAGAATTAGATCTCCTTATACCTAAGAACCTGGCCTCAAACAGAACCTGCACATCAAACAGACGTGTCCAAGATGCTGGGGACTGCATCCCACCGGGGCATCAAGACAGAATCCACAGAGGGGTTGTCTCCATCCATCACTATTGTCATGGCCCCAGGCCATGCCAACTCAGCTGCCCTTCAAGTTCTGGAAGCCAGCTGGTTCCAGGGTTCCTTGAAGCAGGGACAGCAGATGGAAACAGTCTCCCCTCTCGCCAAAGTCTCAGGGCACCATGCTGCCCCCGCCTCTCTCCTTCTGGCTCCCCAGGGCAGCTGTGGCCAGCAGCATCTCACATGTCAGAGGGCACCAAGTCCGGGATCTGTTTGCCTTCTTCAGTCGATTTGCTGGCCAGCTTGTGGGGGAAGAGAAGGAACAGACAGATCAGCATGCTGGTACCTGAGGAGCATGACTGTGCCGCTTCCTGGGCCTGATCACTGCAGGGAGGTGGGGCGGGTGGGGGGAGGGTGGGCTACAAAGAGCTACTTTGACCTTGGGCTTGACCGGTAATATGGATGGGGGCAATGGTTCGAGCACTAACTTTGCACAGAGCAGGCACTTACACCCAGCTCTGCGAGCTTTACACAGTCTTTCCCAGCACAGTGGGAAGATCAAATGGGCTACTGTTTGGGAATTGCTAAGCATGATGTCTGATTCATAGCCTGATTGTTATAGCAGCACAGTGCTGACTGGCTGTTACCTTGAGGGCCCTATGTGACACAGTGCCTCTTGACCTTGGGCAGAAAGGCACATCACCATGGAAATGGTACTTGGAGTCAGTGCTTAGAAACTAACTTTTAATGTATCTGACTTTGTAATAGAAGTTGAATAGAATGATGCTCCTACAGAGAAGCAAAGCACTTTCAGTCTCCTGAGACGGCTGGCACTTGGGGCTTGACTGGGAGCGCCTCCGGCAGGGCAGACAAGGGCCAGTCACCTACTGTTTGTGAGGTCTCGGGGCCCCCGCATGTCTTCCCAGCTGGGGCTCATTTCTAGCTAGAGGGGCCTCAATGCATTCTGGGCATTACTGGACAGTGTCCCAGAACTCAAGGCTCCCTGACCATGTTAACTTGGGAATGACCCTGTAGACACACATATGCACAACCAAGCACACAGTGCACACAGTACTCGCACACACAGTGCACACACACACAGTGCACACACACACAGTGCACACACACACACACACACACACACAGTGCATGCAGTACTCACACACGCACACACATCAACTGCACATGCACTCTCATTTTCTGTTTCTTCACACCCTCCTGCTTTTCCGTCCATCCTGTGTCCTCACCATTGTCTTGAAGAACTGGTTGACTTTCTTCCTTTTGAGTGTCTTCTTGTCGCCCTCTGAGAAATGGAGGAAGGCCTGGCTGAGGCGTGGTGATGTGCTGGCTTCGTCCAGCCCCGGCACTCCAGCCACGGAGAGTGTGAGAGCTGGAAGGAGAATGGAGATGAGGACATGAGGGGGTGGGGAGGAGGCTGTGCCCATAGGACCCAGAGTGACTTGGGGGAAGTGGATGGGAGGCGGGCAGGGGGCAGAGCCAGCCTCCACATCACATAGTGTGTGTGCCAAGCAGAGGCGGGAGGACTGTTTGTTGCCATGCCAGGAGGAGTTGAAGCTGTCCTCCCTGGCGAGGTTTGCCAACCCCACAGCAGCGGCTCTGCCTCCTGGCGTCTGGTCAAAGTTCTGTCCAAGAGCATCTGGGATGGAAACCTGAGGGCTGCGTTGGGGGTGATGTCTCCTTACTACCTGGGGCCTGACTCAGGGGCTGCAGGGCCCTGGCTCTAGGGTGAACTTGCGCTTCCTTTCCATCCAAAGACCAACAACCTGCTACTCTTCTCTTTGTCATGGCAGAGGGCAGTGGAGGAGACAGTCTCCTGTTTGGCATTGCCTGGAGCAGAGGTGGGCTTGCTCATTGCTGACAGTCCCAGTCTGGAGCCAGAGAGAACTGAAAATCCAGCAACCCCCTCCAACTGTCTGAATTTTCATTGTCAAACAGCAGTAAGGGGTCAGGGCAGTGGCATAGCAGGTAAAGCACAGTTGCCTGCAATGCCAACTTCCCCTAAGAGTGCCAGACTGGAGTTCCAGCGGCACTCCAGCTCCCTGGGTATGCACTTGGAAAAAGTGGGAGAAAGTGCTCACGTGTCTGGGTCCCTGGCACCCACATGTGAGACTCAGATGAAACTTCTGGCTTTGTTCTGGCACAGCATTGATATTGCGGCCATGTGAGGATCTCTCTCTGTCCCCCTCTCTCTCTCTGTATTTTTGACTTTTGCATAAATAAAGTGGATCTTTAGACAAAACAAAACAACAGCACAAGGAACATGGAGCTGCAGGGCTGTGAGAAGGGAACAGCTTGCACTTGCTCAGACACCACAGCTGTGCCTGCACAGGGGAGCTGTCTGCACACAGCAGCTCAGCCCTTCTCAGGGCCCTGCTTCTGACCTCTGCTATCCCTCAGCCAGTGACAAGCAGGAGCCTGACATCCCTGGTGGCTCGGTTTCCTCATCCATACAATGGGCAAACGACTTTATCCGGTTCATACACATGTGCTGTGATGTGGGCAAAGTAATGAAGGAGTTGCAGTTAGGACAGAGCCTGGCACAAGCTGGCCCTTAGCAATGACCCTTAGCAATGACAGGTGTCTTTGCAGTGAGCCACCTGCCCACTGCACTGGAGCCACAGCGACTCTGCCTGGCCCTTGGCAGCTAGAGTCTGGGTGGAGCAGGAAGCCAGGAGGACTGGCAATTCTCAGCTGTGCCAGGCCCCTGTTAGGACCCCAGGATCCCTACTGTGTGCATTTGCAAGAGTCACTGTGTCTGGGAACCCCCGCACTGCAGTAGGAATGTGTCAGGGGAGGGAACCAGGGAACTCCACACCAGATCTTCCACAGTGGGCTGGCAATTCCTGCTAGTCCGAGGACGACTTCCAAGGAGCTGCAGGCTGGAAGAACATACCAGTGCAGGCTTCTGGCCTGGGACGGGCCTGGATGACAGACACTGTAGTGCCACACACGGGACAAAGGCAGTAAACTTGTCCCAAGCCCCAGAGGAGCTGGTGGGGGGACTTTGCCAAGTGGGGGTGGTGGTGGTGAGAACAGACTATGGATGGGGGTTGTAAGCAGAACCCTGGGCGCCCAGGATGGCTGGCCCACTCTGCTGTGTGGCATGGTCCTCACCCATCCTCCACCTGCTGGGTTGGTGGCCCATACTTCCCCATGCAGGTAGGGGCAGAGCACTTACCTGGGATGGTGGGCAAGGACTGGCTGGCGAAGCTCATCTGGGACAGGACGGATGCTCTGGGCGGAACAGTTGTGTGCTCCGAGAGGTTTGTATCACTCATGAACTCATGCTTCCTGGAGAGCTGCATGAATACACACACACACACACACACACACACACACACACACACACACACACACACCATGGAGGCTTAGTATAATACAGAGATGGGCCCCTGTAAGATTGAGAACAGAGGCTTTGGCTGAATTCTATACACCCAGCTCTGTGTTCATCTGTTTTGCTTTAGGTATTCCATGCCCACTAGCCATGTATGGTTGTACAGGTTGCACGCCATACAACTCCAGGGAGTGGTGATGGGGCGTTAATTCAGACTGTCATGTGAATGGTGCTCCTCAGAATTGCAAGATGCAGAAAACATTTCTATCATTTTCCTTCCTACATATAAGTGGCTTCCAGGGTCCACTGGACCACCTCAAACACTCCAGCGGGCACATGACCTTGCACCTGGCACCCCTCCCTTGCCAGGAAAGTCCACCTCTCTTCCCCACACTACTTCTAAGGGCGACACTAGGTTTGAAGCCAGGGCTGCCTGATCCCCAGTCTCATTATTCGCATGGTTACTGGTGGCCAACACTGAAGCTCTCAAAGCCAGGGTGGTGAGCTTTTCATCTCTGCACTGCCCCCTGGGCTCCTGGTACACAGTGGGAGTTCAGTGCTAACCTGGACACCAGAGGGTAGAAAGGGCCTGGTGGGCAGGACTGTGGCACGGCAGGTTATACTGCTGCTTATGATGCCCACACTCGGTAGCAGAGTGCTGGCTTCTGTCCCAGCTGCTCCACTTCCACCCGACTGCCTGCTAATGTGCCTGGGAACACAGCGCAGAATGGTCCAAGTCCTCCCACCTGTGTGGGAGTTCCAGAGATGGAGTTGCGGGCTATTGGCTTGGAGCTGGTCCAGCCCTGGCTATTCTGGTGATCTGGGGAATGAACCAGCAAATGTCTTCCATGTCCTTCCCTCTATCTGATGCTCTGCTCGTCAAACAAATAAATATATCTTAAAAAACAAAAGAATCAGCCTGGGTCTGAGGACAGAGGAATGCGTAGCCCAGTATCGGGTGGGCTGCCATCCTCTTCCTTGGCTGACAAGCTCCTTGTCCCCAGCCATGCTAAGTCCTTTGTGATGGTGAAAAGACACACAAACGCCCTGGAGTCTGATCATCTGGGTTCAAGTCCCAGATCTGCTGTGTCCCAGACATCTCAGCTGCATGGGAACCATGGGCACAGGCTACCCCTCTCTGCATGCTGCCCAATGGCACCCACTACCCCACAGGAGCAAGGTTCTGGGACAGCCTGGGTGCCACGCCTGGCTGTGTGGGGGGAGGCGACCCACTCACCCGCTTCAGTTCCGACTCAGCCACTGCCTTCTCGTCCGCGAACACTACACTGCTTCTCTTCGACCTCTTCTTGGAGCGCCGCAGCTTGACCTCGGGCAGAGTGCTCCCCGGGGAAATGGGCTCCTCCTGCTCTGCCCTGGGAGTCTTGGGTGCTGCCAGCTCCAGGTCAAAGCTGAAGGGTAAGAGGCACAGTGTTGGGAACTGCAGCTCAGGCTGCCTTGAAGCTGCCACGCAGAGACCACTGGGCACCCAAAGGAACCTTCCTGCTCACTGAGCTGTCACTGGCAAGGGCATGGGTGGCTCGGCCCACCTGGTGGCAAACTTACAGTGCTCATATTGGGAAATGCACAGTGAAAGGAGATTGAAAGGGACACATCATAAAAAAAAAAAAACCTGTTCATTAGGATATAGCACTGGCTGTAACTATGGAACTGGGTTCATATCCAGGCACTGCCACTTCTTAGTCAAAAGAGTCTGGATCAATTAGCCAAATGTTCGAAGCCATCCTTTTCTCTTTAGGGAGTGCTGGATTTCTGTAGCCACCACAGAGAATGGCCATAAGATGAGGTTTGAGGGACCATTAGCACATTTACAAAGTGATGAGAGCTGGCTTATTTGAGTTGGGCCAGGTGCAGCCATGGGGTGTCCAGCAAGGTAGAAGGTGGAGAAGGCAGGGAGGACCCCAATAGATGTGTGGGTGAGGGTAGAAGGAACTGAGAGGGGACATCTCATCTCCGTTGAAGGAGCTTCCTTGGGAGGGAATTGCTCTTAGCAGGGGTGAGAAGATTCCAGATGAATGCAAGAATGATGAACAGCTGGCTCTGAGAGCCTGGGAGCCTGAGGCCTGCAGATGAGTTCTGCTGGGTCCTCAGGAAAAGCTTCCTCTACCTGTGTGAATCACCAGTGTTCCTTGAAAAGATGTACTGGGCACAGCAGTCTTGTTGTCTTGGCAAGGGTTTAGTGACACTGTGGATGGCGGAAAGGCTTTGAAGCAGAAATGGATTAAGACGAGGTAGAAGGAGGCTGCTGGGGAAGAAACAGGAGGCGGGAAATTTTTTGGGCTTCGGACCAGGGAGGCTGCCAGGGCAACAGGGACTGACCTCTCGGAGGTTGCCTTGCTGGGCGTGCTGCAGTCAGAATTCATGGAAGCCAGAGAAATGATTGACATCTGCCTGTAGGAGCGCAGCATGGACCTGGGCCTGCCCACGCGCCTGTCGTCGAAGTCAGGCTGTGGGTGGAAGAGCGCTGTGGTTAGTGGTGGAGCTTGGGTCACGTGGTCTCAGCTCTCCTGCCAGGCTCTGCTCCTGGGTCAGATGGCACAGTGAGGCTGAGCAGGGCACCTGGCTCAGGCCAGGGGCTTGGTGCAGAGCAAAGGAACCTGCCCAGTGTTTGTTCTTGGTCCTGGAATGTCATTTCTAAGTCTTTGGAATGCCCCATGGGTATCAGGGCCTGGACTGCACAAGTCCTTCCTCTTCAGAAGCAATCTGTTTTTCTGGGTCCCCCCTGCCTCATCTCACCCTCTTCCGGTTCTAGGGACCGCCATACCATCTCTCTGACGCCATACTCCTTCTCCACCTTCGCTTTCAGGTTCTTGAAGCATTCCTCCATCCGGTCGTGGAAGGGCCGCAGGTTTTCTGACACCCTTTTCTCATGGATCTTAATTCCAGCTCCCAGGAAGGGGATCTGGAAGAAATAGCAAGTGATGAGCCAAGGTTCGATGAGAACCCAGCCCATCAAATTGGCTGAGATCAAGTCAGAATTCATTGAGAGCTCCACACAGGGCACCCTGTTGGAGAACTATATCCTTGGGGCTTGCTCTGAGGAGGGAGCAAGACTTCCAACTGTCCCTAGAAGGGTTGGTTCCTCTCACCCCATTACAGTCCACCCTGGCGAAAACCTTTTCTTTGCAGAAATCAGTTGAGGTACAGGATGCAGGAACCTAAGAAAAGGAGGTTCCTCAGCTCTGACTCAGAACTTGGACTCGTGTGTTCTGGGAAATGCTAAAGTGAAAGAGGGACTGTTCGAAGCTGGGAGACAGGGGAAGAGTTAAGAAGCAAAGGAGGAGTGGCCCCAGCTTCATTTTACATCAGGGAAGTCCAATGAAAATTCATGTGGATCTGGAAAGCGATGAATGTGTTCAAACCATAAAGTCAATCAACAAACAACTTTTAGAATGTGACATGAAAACCTTAGGAAGAGGAGGAACGAGGGGAGGAAGGATGCAATGGTGCTGAAGTCTCACTCATCCACACAGGGAGTCGGTGAATACTGCCCACATGGGAAAATACTTTGGGGAGGCAGCTGGGCTGGGAAGGTCAGCTGTGTAGCCCCAGGGAAACAGCTACGGATGGAAAGGCAAAAAGCATGGGCTATTTGCAGGAGAGATGTAACACTTCCATGAAGATGACACAGACATTTCTACCTGCTTCTGGAGAACCCCAGAGATACCTGTGATCCGGTGGGTGAAGAATGAAAACGGGCCTTTCAGGGCCCAGGAGGGAGATGGCAACAGAAGTGGCTCATCAGCCCCTAGGAAACCAGGAGGGCCTCAGTGGTTACAGGCACCGGGTACCATCAGAATGATGTGGTGAGGCGAGTCGAGGGGCTGAACCCAGAGGAATGGACTCAACTCCCGCCTGAGGAGCAGTTAGATCACCAGGTGCCCATCACTTCACTGTGTAGCCAGGTGTTACATAGAGCTCAGCTCCAGTGTGACTAGAATAAGATGCAAGAGGCTCAGAGGTCCAGGCCATGAGAACGGTTGAGATGAGGAGCCAGACCGGAAATAAGGGGTTGAAGGGAAAGTTTGCACAGAGTGAGATTTTTACTTCCTAATTCCTGCATTTCCAGCAGCACAGCAGCAACTGAGATTGTCTTCCTGTAACACAATGGGAAAGATCTACGTTGATACAGGTGTTTTCGACCCATTCAGCTATTCCACAGTCAAGCCATTTAGCTGCCAAGGCCCTGTCTCCTGTACACAGATCTCTACTTAGCCTCACTCTTAGCTATGCAGGGACTACTAAGAATCACCAGAACATGGAGGAAAGTCTCCAACACGAGAGACAAAGGCAACAGCCAACAGATACAATAAAAAAAAAAAAAAGCAAATGTAGAGGAGAAAAAAAAGGAATGACTGTGCATGCTTGCAAGAAACAGAATGCACAGTGCCAAACAAAATATTATTTTTTAAAATTTAATGAATATTCAAACAAAGGAGATTCTCTATTCATAAGAAAAAGGCAACGTTGAAGGATGACAATGGAAATATCACAGTTAAAAAGGAGTTGGATACCGTGCATGTTGTAAACAGAGACAAATGTATTGCTTCAGTTTTACATATTAGAAAAGACATAAAATTGATGAACCATTCCTCTCAAATTATTAGTACAATTACATTTTAAAAGATTTAAAGCAAATTAAATCCAAAGAGAGCAAAAGGAAGAAACAAGGAAAGTAGACACGGGTGAAAAGGAAAGCAAACCCAACAGGACAACAAAGCCATTAGCTGAGTCTTCGGAAAGAGAGAACAATGATAAAAATAAAAGTACTGACCACGTAAACACAGAATGCATCAATGCAAACACTGGAACTGCAAAGTGTTGCTACGGGAAGCGCAAACATCACAATCACACAAGGCTCTATAAAAACGTGTATGACAATACATGGAGTGTCTACATGCAATGAACAAATTGCTGCAGAGAAACAGTTTACCAAGAAGGTATAAATGGAATGGAAAACCTGAAAATTCTTGAAGAAACAAATGCGCGTTTTAAAACATTTCTGACATATATGGCTTCACTGACCAATTAAATTCTAGCAAACATTTAGGGGATAAACAAACACCAACTACATTAAAACTTTTCCAAACCGTGAGCAGTGTCTGAATCACTTCAGAAAATGCCCATTGCTAGAGATTTGTTTATTATTTTTATTTTTTTTTATTTGAAAGACAGAATTTTAGAGAGAAGGAAAGACAGAGAGATCTTCCATTTGTTGATTCACTCCCAAATGGCTGCGATTAGCAGAGCCGCACCAGTCCAAAGCTAGAAGTCAGGAGCTTCTTCCAGGTCTCCTACATGTGTACTGGGGCCTTAAGACTTGGTCCATCCCAGTCGAGAAGCAGGGAGCAGAAGCCAAAACAGAGCAGCTAGGACACAAACTGACGCCCATCAGGGATGCCAGCGCTGCAGGTGAGGCTTGGCGTACTAAGCTGTGGAGCTACTAAGCTGTGGAGCTGGCTCCCAGAGAGTTCTTCAAGATGACACAAAGTGTTACTCATTTAAAAATAAGAAAATATTGAATCTCACTCAAATTACAAGCTCTGTTCATGAGAACACATCATCAAGAAACCAAGCAAGAGCAGATACTTGGTGCAGTGGGTAAGCTGCCTTTTGGGAGGTCCACATCACACAACAGCCCGGTTCAAGTCCCAGCTACCCTGCTTCCAACCCAGCTGCCTTCTAACGTGTACCCTGAGAAGCTGCAGGTGATGGCTTGCAGGTGGTCTCCATTCGCATGGGAAACCCAGCTGGAGTTTTAGTCTCATGGATGAAGTCTGGTCCTACCCTGCCTATTACAGACATGTGGTGAGTGAACCGGCAGAGGGACGATCTCTCTCTCTGTCTCCCTCTTTCTCTCTCTGTCTTCAAGAAAAAAAAAAGTAAGCAGACAAGCCACAGACTGCACAAAGATTTATGCTACACATATATTTGGCAAAGGATTTATATCTCAAGCAGGCAAATACCTATAAATCAATAGTAAACGGGTAATTTAATACAGGATTTGAATAAGTGTTTCATAGACGCATTATCCAATTAGCCAATATGAACAGTGCTAACACCACCAATCATGAGGGAAAAGAGAGTCTCAACAAAGCTGAGATGCCACCAGAGGAGTAAAGTTAGGATTTGCCTATCAAGTCTTCACATATCAAGGGCAGTTCAGATGCTTGGAAGTTGTTGACTGGAGTGGAAGCGGGTTCAGTTACTTTGGAAGTATGTTGGTTACAGTGAGGCTAACTGCATGTGATCCAGCAATGTCACCGCTAAATACACAAGTACACCGAGCGAACTTGTGTAGGTCCGCAAGGGACAGGAGCCGCAAGGTTCAATGCACGGCCACCCATGATACATGAAAGTTAAAACAACCCAAATATGTAACATCAGGAGAACGAACAAATCAACGGGTCTAATGCTGTATATCTGTACGACAGATAACACTAGAGACAAGAAAGTCAAGTCAGGTGCAGCGACCTAGACAAGTGCATTGCGTTGACCAAAAGAAGCCAGATGTGTTATTATTCTGCATGATGCAGTTTGCAAGGTCAAGAGCAGACAGAACTAACCTGTGGTGATAGAAGTTCGGCAGTGTCTGTAGATGTGTTTATAAGATGAGGGGTAGTTCTACGTCTAACTATATCCAGAAACTGCATATGTGTGTGCCAGGAAGATGTGCGCAGGTGTGTTCAGAACAGCATCACCTATAATAGCCCCTACTTGTAATCAACCCAATTCTCCATCAGCAGAAAAATATATACATACATTTTGGTATCGTTCTATTATCCAGTTATCCTGGCTGCATACAGTAGCAAAATGAATGGATGATAGCATTGTACGGTAATCTGGATACATCTCACAGATACAACATCAAGTAAAATAAGACCAAAGGAATATACATCACGTGGTTCAATTTGTATATGTATGTATATGTCATAAATAATCAGGAGTGTATTATATTTTTAGAAATGAATGGGCATAAAACTTTTTTAAAAAGCAAGGAAATTATTATTATTGCACAAGCAGGAAAGTGGCTGACTACAGGAAGGTATATAGTTGGCTTGGGGGTCACAGCAGATTTTCACTTCTTTGTCTTGGAAGCAGCAGTCCAGTATGCTTATATTTTGTAATAAATTGGTGAGTATATATAATTGACTAATGGGGAAAGAAGGATGGAGGGAGTTGTCATCTGTCAGTTGATTCCCCAGATGCCAGCACTGGCTAGGGATTGACAGGAAGCTAGGAGCAGGAGCTGGAATTTGGAATTGAACCTGGGCTCTATCTAGAACTCGGGTATCTTACTTCTAGGCTAATGCCCACTCCATGTGAGCTGCATATTTTTATGAAGAAAAGAAGCTGCTCTGGACACTTTCCAAGTCAACTAACATAAAAGTCTTTACACAGGAAAAGAAAAAAACAGAAGATATTCATCTTGGATCTGTGAGAACACACACACAAAATGTACCTTGAAAGCTCCAGCCTGTGTGTGGTTGCCAGAGGTGCAAGAGCATTCCTTCTAAAATCTAAGGTTCCCACGTTTGGGGAAAATCCAGAGTGGTTGTAGATGTGCCATACCACGACTGGATCGAGAATTAAGCTTCAAGTGGCAAAGAGTAGGCCCGATGTCATCCACTGTTCGCTGTCCTGCAGCGACAGACTTGGTGCACGGAGCCTATAATGACTATAATGAGCTATACCGTGTTGGTGAGATAGCCAAAGATTATTACTGGCATCAGGCTTTTATAGACTGAGACCCACACAGGATAAGGGAGGAGGTATTGAGGAGCTTGCGTAGTTCCCATAAGCCTTTCTACAGAACCCACCCATTGTTTCCACACCCTTGTTTGAAACTATCTTTTTGTTTTTTCATATCCAATCAAGTATCCTCATACAAATGGTATCCTATCAGTTGTCACCCGATGTTCGCTGTCCTACAAATCACATTGTCCTTCTACAATCCACCACTGTATTCCTGTCGCACTATGCTTAATAAATACAGGTGCTAAGAATGGATGAAGACGAGCCAATTGTTCTGCACAATAATGATCAAAGGTTGGGGAGGTGTTTGGTACAGCAGTGACACCCACATCTGATGTCACAGTGCCTGCTTGGATGCACAGTTCTGCTCTGATTCAGCCCCTTGCTAATGTGAATCCTGGCAGGTAGCAGGTCATGCTGCTCTGGTCCCTGTCACCCATGTGGGAAACCCAGACTGAGGTTTAGACTATTGAATTCAGCCTGGCCCAGCCTCAGCTGTTGAGGGGCATTTGAGGAATGAACCAGCAGATGTGTTTATCCTCTCCGCATTTCAAATAAGTAAGAACAAACAACAATGTAAGAAACGTTATGTAGAAAAACTTCATCCATAATAAGGCAGGGTAGTATCTTTCAAGCATGATGCCCAAAGTTGGTGTGCCCAGGCCCTGGGCGAGAGACACATGGTGGTCTCCGGTGAGGGTTAAGTGGCTCTCAAGCACAAATGCCTCAGGACCCAGAGTGCCACTATAGAGGGTGGCCACGAGGGGGCGCTGTCTAAAGGCATCTAGCTCAGGGCTTTCAGAAGCCATACTGCTTGATAAAAGGCTTTCAAAGTCTCCCTTTGCTTGTAGTGTCCCTGGAGTAACCACCAACATGCAGAGGGAATTTTCTTAGAAGACACAGCCCGGTTTTAGCCTTGCATGGTGAGACTGAGGTTCAGTTTTTGAGTGCAGTGGCTGCAGCCTGTAGAAGCTGTTCCCAGATGGGTAGATGTACTCAGTGGAGAGGCCCAAGGCAGTGGCACAGGTTGAAAGTGATCTCCAACAGCTAGGTGGATTTCGATGACCCTTGGCACCCCACAAATACCCATCAAAGCCTGGTTTCTCTGTTTCCCACTCCAGAGGGTGCTGAGACATGGCATCGTGATTTGCATATGCAAGGGCATGGTGACCCCAGAAGGCTAGGGACCTTGGGGAGTGTTTGGATTTCACAGGTGGCACAAGGTAAAACTGGAGAGAAAATTCCAGACACGTGACCTGCACTCAGGAAAGTGCATCTGTGTGGCGCTGAGTGTTTCATTTTTAAAGCTCAATTTGCATGAATTGGCAGAGGCAGAGCAGGACCTGAATTAGGAATCCTTATTTTAAGAACAGAGGCTGCACCCAATGCTTCTCACTCCCTGATTTCCCCAGAGTAACAAAAACTCCCCCTCCACAAAGGCTGGCTTTTCTTTGCACAGTGACTGCAAAGAAGGAAGGGAGGGAGGACAGGCAGCTGCAAATGCATGTGCCCTCGTGCCTGCCTTCCCCTGCAGCTCTGCCCTCTGGAGTCCACCCCTTGGCTTAGCGCTGTGGTGTGAGTGGTCTGCAGCGAGCTCCAAGCTGGCAGGTGTCAGAGGAGGGGGCTGCACAGACTTGGGGGTGGGGGGGGGGAAGTCAGCTCCTTCGCAAGCTTCCCTGGGCAGGATCTGAGCAGACAACTTCTTCTGCAGGGAGAGGGGGATACAGAACAAAGGACAGGGGAGAAGAGGCATGGAAGCTGGAGAGAGGAGTGCAGGCGGGAGGAGAAGGGACAGGCAAAGGATTAGAAGGAAAGGGCTGCTCCTTGGAGGCGGAGTGGGGAGAGAAGGGAGAGGGAAGGGAGGAAAGAAAAGTGTACAAAAGAACAAGACGGCCTGAGGGAGAGGGGGCAAGCCAGACCCTGGGCTTGGATCTGGAGCACTGCAGTAGTTCATGAGACGCAGACCCTCCAAGCAAGAACCAGGCAAAGGCCTCAGCGACTTTCCCCATCTGCAACAAACTGGACAGCCGAAGAAGGAGCGGTGGGATTGGGGGAGGCGGGATGGGAAAAGATCAGGTATGTTACGATCCAACTGGTGCCTGCTGGAGGTGGAGGTGGGGGAGATGGTGGGAGCTTGGGCTTCATTTTAATCTTACTGAGAAAAACCATTTCCTGAGTTTGATATCCATCAGATAAAGTGATCTTAGCAACACCCCTACCGAGCACTGCTGCTGCGCACCTGGGCAACTCCCAAGGCGGGATGCCCCAAACCTCGCTTCCCAGATAAGCCTGCCCAGGTAGGCCAGAGTCAGTAAAGGAGTAGAAAGATGGGGGGCATGTGGAATCAGGCCATGCCAGCCTGATGCTAGCCAAGGGAAGTGAACCAGGGAGAAGGAGAAGGATGGACTTCTGCCCCTTTACCTGCCATGCGATCAGGTCCTTGAGGTGGCTCAGCTTCTCCTGGTCCTCAGGGTGGTCCCTGTTGTACTCCTCAGTGAAGAAGGCCTGGAGAGGGCAGATAGGAACTTGATGTTTGCTGTTCATTTGGAGTGGATCCCACGGCCAATCTCATGGGCACACAGGGAGATCTGGTTTCAAAGGAGCAGAGAGCAGGCAGGGGCAATGTCTGAAACCTGCAGGGATGGATGCTGTTTCTGTATCCCAGAGGCTCAGGTCAGCACCCACCAGGGAGTGGATCACATTTGGTTGGGAAGTAGTTCTCAGCGTGAGGTTTCCCCAGACCAGCACCAACCAGGAACTTGTTAGAAATCTAAGATCTCTGACCCCAGCTCAGACCTACCAAATCAAAAACTGGGATCAGGGAGGCAGGGAGGGAGCATGTGTTAAAGAAGCCCTGCAGGGGATATAGATGTACCTGCAGGTTGGAGAACATTGCTCAAAGGAAAAGAACTTTGTGAGGAACTGAGCCCTTGCTACTCCAGCATCTCTCGGCCTTCCCTCAGTGCTAATGACCCTGGCAGGCACCCAGCTCTTTCCAGGGCTTAGGTCCCTACCAGCTGCACACACACAGAGAAATCCCATCACTCCTCCAGGCTGGGCCAAGGGTTACCGATGAATTCTGTGGGGGTGTGTGGGGATGGCTGGGAGAGTCTTCCTGCCTCCCGAGGCTGTGCTGCACTCTCAGTACTGCATGAGTGAACAGCATAGCAGAGATAACAGACTGTGAGGTTTATCAGAATAAGGAGTCTATCCAGGATGTGCAAGCTGAATTTCTGTCTGATTTCAATGCCAGAGAAAGTTCTACCTCCCTATCTTGGAAATCTTCACTGGATACTGTGACTCATACAACTGATGGCATTTCATTTTTTAACCACGGACAGTTAGAGGCTCAAACGTGAAATCCAGGGTTCAAAAGCCTTTATAAAGGGAAAGCATGATTTGGACACCTAGATCCTCACTCCTCCTCAGAACCCCCTGGAGCTGATCAGCCCTGCCTATAGCTTCACAGATCCCATCTTTCTTGCATGTGTCATTTTCACACAGAGGAAGTAGTTTGATGTGTGATTCTGCTACTGTGTGATTGGCCTTACCGCTATCCCAGGATCTTTCCTCAGTAGAGCTTCCTGCATCCGCCCCGTAGACAGGATGCAGCCCAGGGTAGACAGGAGGCTGTTAAGACTGGGGGCTGTAGGAGGCCCAACAGAGCTGAGTGTTTGGGTGAAAGGGCAGGTGCAGCAGGCTAAGGGACACGCAGAGGCAGCTGCCTTGACCCCACACCAGGGCCTGGAGGGCAGAGCCCCTCACCTTCTCGTATTTGGCAAAGCCTCCCATGACTGCAGGGTCCACGATGCCGTTGAGGAGCATGGAAAGCGGGTTGATGGGGAGGCTCTCGTCACTCTGGTACTGGTTTATCATCATCAGGATCTTCTCGTTGGCCGTGGACATGGTTTCGATGGCATTCTCCAGGGGACTAATTGTGGTCTTTGGAAACAACATCACAGAGAGGAAAGGGTTGTAGCGGGTAGCTTCACAAACATATAATTATTGGTATTGATTTCACTTGAGGTGGGAATTCAAATGCCACCAGGCTCCCTGTGGGGCTCTAGCGGGATCTTGCTGTAATTAGTGAGTTCTGGGGGCTGGCTGCTGTCTGGAGAGAGGAGGGGGCACCTTCCTGCTTCATGAGCAAGGGTTGTCTCTGGGGAGGCAGAGGCAGGAAGTGGCAGGCACTTGCTGTGGTTTCAGAGGTGGAGTGTGCTCCAAGAGAGGCTTTTCTCAGTGCCAGCGCGAAGCACACTCCATGTCAACCCATCAGGTGCTGGCTGAGGAGCTGCTACATGGGCGCTATTCATCATAAAAATGGGGACAGCTTGGGATGTGAGCACTTGGCCTGGCACACGGTAGATTCCCAGAACGGCTGTTGGACTCGGGACTCTCTGTCCCCATGTAGACTCCACAGAGTTGGGAAGATGATACAAACACTTGTCCCACCCCTCTTAGAAGGCAACATAAATAGAGCACCACCAAATGCCAGCTGGCAAGACCGTGCGGTTCACGTGAGCACAGAATCTGCAAATAAAAACCAAACTGGAGGTCACACACATTTTCTGTGAAAGGGCCAGGTAGTAAATATTTCAGGATTTGCGGGCCACATGGTCTGTGTTGGAGCTACGCTCCACTACCACTGCCGGGTAAAGCAGCCAGCCACCAGTAATAGGTAAATGAATGAAGTTGATTTTTCCAACAAAACTATTCACACGAGTAGGTGGCAGGTGGAAGTTAGCCCACAGGCCAAACATAGTTTGCCGACTCTTGAACTATTGAACAACTTGAAACAGTGGAATTCCCAGCTCTACAGGTTTGCTGGCTGTGTGACTGAGGGCAAATCTCCTAACCTTCCTGAGCCTTGCTTGCCTTATTAGTAAAAGAGCAATGAGAAAACCCACTCCAGGGAGTTACCGGCAGATATCAATATGCACAGGTGTTAGGATAAGGCATAGCAGTTCTTCTAACAAGGGAAGACTCACTGGTAGGATGGGGATGGAGCTTGGGGAGCAAAGTCAGGGAATTTGAGCAAACCTCATGGGGGAAGGGACTCCAAGTTTTACGATTTCTGAAGTGACTCAGTATCTGCGTCACTGCTAGGCAGTGATGAAGTGAGACAATGGCAGTTAGGAAGTGTCACCTGCTAGTTCTTAGCAACTATTGTGCATTTGTGAGGGGGGGCACAACCAGCTGTTCTAGCCACATTCTTGGTTATCATTTAAGTCACTTGTTTACCTCCCAGAGGAGTCACAGGTTCTTTGGTCCCTTTCCCTGTGTTTGCCCATGTTTTGAAGTTGGCTGTTGTTGGCATTGAGAAGTGCCTGGGAGCAGACTCACTCTACCTCTGTCACCTCTTGCTGTCACACACACATGTGTTACACTGGAAGGGAATGGTCCCAGGCTTGGCAGGGGCTGCATTGCACAGTTCACATGACGATCCCCACAGGCTAGGTTGTGTCAAGTGCACACATCCACCCTGCAGGGCCTCGACCAGCATGAGGGGTGGACAGAGTCCTGCTTGGACCTAGTCCAGTAGCATGCACCTGGGTTCCAACAACAGCCAGCCAGATCGCGGAGACTTGTTCAAGCGAGTCATTACAAATGGAAAAACCTATTGATTGGCTTTCCACTGCAGGTTTATAACTGTTTTTGGATTTCCAAATCTCTATTCTCATTAGAGCCATCAGGAACAGACCATGAAAGTGATTTCAGTTTCCCACCTAAGGGCATTTGTGTAGACCAAATATATACTTCTTGGAGCAGAGTTATGGGAGTTATACATTTGATGGGAGGCCTGGATGTCAGGAGTTGGTAACAGAAACAAAAAGTAATGACCGTGATCATGGGGAATAGTCACATAGAGGGTGGGTCCATTCTGTGTGCCAGTCCAAGCGGGGCACATCACATACAGGCTGTCATTTAGCTCCCCCAGTGCCAGCTTAAGTCACTCGCCAGAGGGCAGAGGGTGAGCGAGTGGGACAGGGAACCAGGGAGGTCCTGTGTCCAAAAGCAGGCTCCTCCCCACAGTGTGAAGCATGCTCTGTTGTCAAACTGCCATCAAGCCCTCTTATCTCCGATTCTTTCCTAGGAAGAGCCTGTATCTTATTAGCACCATAGGCACGATGGCTCTTGACATACTTGGTATGAAAAGCAGACGTATTATCAGGGGAAAACGTGAAAGTGTTTGCAGGTATGTGATGGTATCCAGCGGGAAGAAGTAGCCACAACCCCAGGTGCTTGGCAGTTCCTTCATATTTTTCATGATCACGTTCTGAAATACACACAGGGGCCCTATGGGCTTCATAGGACAGGCATCACCACCTCTGACTATTGCCACTGTCTGCTTTGATGGTCCAAGTCCCAAGTTTGGGCCTCTGTTTCCTCTTATATAAAACTGAGCAGCGAGGCAAGAACCAGGAAGAATGAGGGGGTGAGAAATTGGAGAGGTCCAGGCCCCAGCAGGCCAACCATTTCGCCAACACACCAGCTCTGTTTTCAAAACTTAACTTGATGTGGCGGGCAGAGGATAACACTACTGCATTGATATCATCATCACTGTACTGTTGCCAAGGTCTAGGCCATGTGTATGAATAGGAGATGGGAGGGTCACTGAGCTAGTGGGTTCACCAGAAAGGATGTGGGGTTATCTCAGGGCTGATAGCGGAGTAGCTAGAAAATAGGGGTTAGATTAGGTCCCTCCTCTGCTTGCAGCCCTGTCTTTTCAGTGTAAAAGTCAAGTTCCTCCTGAGGTTTGTAGGCTCTCAGTGATCTCATATCAAACTACTATTATTCGATTCTCACTTGTCCTCACCAGGCACAAGATGGTCTGGACACAGGGTCCCTGCGGCCGCTGCTCCTTTGGCTGGGATGGCCCATTTCTCATTATGTGCCTGGACCACTTTTTCACCTTCTCCAGGCATTTGCCCACAGAAGCTATTTTAGCAAGGTCAATTTATCTGGCTCTCCTATTTAAAATAGCTACCATTCCCCTGTCTTTTGTTTTATTTTCCCTCCATGATGGTCACCACCATCCAACATATCATACATTGAATTTGAATTTTTTGGTTTTTCTTCCCAACTAGAATGTAAGCTCTATTGCAGAATTTTCAGGTCTCAGATCAGTGTCTAACATGTCAGGTACTCACGCAATATTTCTGAACGAATCAACAATCAAGACATCCTGACTATGTCCCCATGCTTTCCACCTCCTCACAACCTTGCTAACCCTTTCTATTGTCATGGGCATTGCAAGGTTCTTAGCTGTCTGAGTACACGAAGCCACACTGTGTTAAGAGAAAAAAAAATGCTTGCATACTACTTGCATAGATGAGTTCATACAAGCGGCTTCCAGCCAGAGCTTTGGCTCTGCATGATTTTCCTCTTTGACCCTGTTTATCCAGCTATAAAATGGGTTCACTGTGGGATTCTGCAAAGGTGCACTAAGGGTCTATCAAGATGAGAAAAGTATGAAGGAGTGGCCGAGTGAACAGAGTTCCAGGCCCTCTGCCAACTAGTCCTGAAACAGAAACTGCCCATTCATCAGCTGTATTACTAGAATCCGTGAAATGCTCCATTTGCAGCAGGAGTGAGACTGGAATATATCTGATGCTTGAAAAAAAAAATCAGAGCAGCCAGCCACTCTGGAAGCTACACTGACATTTAAACAAAAGCCCATTTCCTTTTCAAAGGCAAAGCCTGGAACCCTTCTGGAGACTGGCTTGTGCCCTGCCCATCACAGCAGAAGAGTATCTGCCCAAGCGTCCCCTGACTCACCTGGGACATGTGGACCACCTCGAACCAGCGGAGGATCCCTGGTAACTTGTAGGCCGTAATGAAGGAGGTTCTCTCAATCCACATGGACTGTGTCGTGGGCAGGAGTTGCGAGGGCAGCAAAGCAACATAATTAGGAGACCTCGTTCCTAGGGCAGACTGGCCACCTCACAGCCAGGCCTCCCTTCCAACCCAAAATCACAAACACACGTGTCCTTTACCCTTGAGAATTCTTTGTCATCAAGAAGCATTAACCCTCCCCTGACTCAGACCAAGTTTACTGTTTACCTGGATTTATTAAATGTCTGAATTTTCAAGCAACAGTCAATGTGATCATTGCTTATGTTTTCTAGGGAGCCAGGTCCCCAGCATTCATTAGATTCCCAAAGAGACAGTGACTCCAAAATACTAAGAACCTCTCCCAAAGGCCAAGAGCTACAAGTTTTGAAATCCCTTCCTCATACTAGTCTTGGCCCTTGGGTACAAGAGATGGGTCCCAGGTGGGAAACACATATAGTGATACTGAATTGTGGGCCTTCTTACTGATGTTTCCTTTAAGGTTTGAGCCTTTCCTCTTTGCCAATAACCCTTTCTAATCTCCTAGAAATGCCAGACTGTCTTGTGGTTAAAAATGTGCCTCTGACTCAAGGCTCCAAGTTCCACCTTGAAAGAGTAAAGGTCCAAGACACAAGAAAACCAACCCCACAAAAGGAATGATGGGAGCCACAGGATCCTGGGATGTTAGTGTTATTTCCTTTGGCCTTGGATCAAGTCCTTTCCATTCTTTTTTTTTTTTTAACATTTTATTCATTTATCTGAGAGGCAGAGAGAGTTTCCAACCACTGGTTCACTGTCTGAAAGTCCAAAACAGCCAGTGCTGGACTAGGTCAAAATCAGAACTCAAGACAGATCTGCCAAATGAGTGGCAGCAGCCCACTTGAGCCCTCAATTCTACTTCCCAGGATCCACATTAACAGGAAGCTGGAGCTGAGAGTGGAGCTGGCACTTTAATCCAGACACTCTGGGGTGGGATGCAGGCATGTCCACTGGTTTCAATTGCTAAGACAAATGCCCAGCTGGTCCCTCCCTCTCTGAAGCTGACAGATGCATGCCCTGGTGGTTGAAGGTGCCCCGGGGAATTCCATGCAGAGGAATACTCACAGCAAACTCATTCTCAGGGTCCACAGTTCCCTTGCGCACGGGCCGGGAATAGTGGAATCTTTGCACATAGTTGGATTTGTAAAAGCTGAAAGAAAGGAACAGGCTGAGATTCTGGGAGCCAAGCTCAGCTTGCTGACACCTGACCTGACCTTGCACTGTCCAGAGAGGCTCATGACAGTAAACTTCAGATTTGGTTGCATCCTGGAGCTAGTATTTAACATGACAGCCTGTGTTCTGAGCGTCATACAAGTGATTCTTACGTAAGCTTTCCTAGCAAGGAGATGTTGGAAAGTGGGCTTTGTCCTAGGCCCTCAAGAGAACATGGCAATCCTAAATGGTCTAGATAGTTGGAATTCTCCTAATAATGCAGAGCATGACCTGGGTCATCATTTCCTGAGGCCCCACTGAATGCACCTGAGGTCTGAGCCTTCTGTCCCCCAGGGAGCTCTTTAAGGATGCACTCCTTAAACCACTCTTTCTGAATCTTTGTGAGGGCACTCTGTTGGCTGTCTAGCTGTGCTCTGTCCATGGCTGTCTGAAAGAGAGAGGCATGGGAGGCTGCGGTTCAACTGCAGTTATATCTTAGCCATGGCACTGGTGAGGAGTTGCTGGCTGATCCTGTTTCTTACTGGCCCACCTAAATGGGATGATTTATTCAAAGACACCAGAGGTACTCTGCTGCTAGGAACTTGGGGCCTAGAAGTGAGCAGGATATCTGGGAGGTGTGCAGCCTGTGTGCATTACAGGCCCTAATTCATGGCCTCATCAGTGACTTTGCAGTCTAATATTGAATAGATTGACTCCCTGCCTTCATTGCTGATCCTTCCAATGTCCCTTCATCTGAACACATCCATTGTCAATGAATGGATACTGGAAAGATATTACTCTGAAAGAACATGCTCAGCATAGACAGGGTGCCCCTGCTTCTTACCCTACCTGTCATCAGCTGTACAGCTCATACTCTGGCTGTAGCTTCTTTGGGGATCATTTTAAGCAACAAGCTATAGGCATTCAATTCAGTGAACCTCACTGAAGCTTATTGAGTATTTGTTGTGCTGCAAGGCTACCCCGTCCTTCCCATCCTTCTCTAACTTTAGCCTTGTCACTGCTAATTGAGGGTGATTCTTCTACCAAGGGGAAAAAATGGAGACAAACTAAGACAGTGAAAGAACTAGACAGGCACCAGGACCTGCCGCCAGCTCCACATCACAGCCCCTGGGGTTGTTCTTCCCCATTCCTGTCCCCCATAGGTTGCCGGTCTTACTTTATAATCTGGTCAGGCACTGGTTTATTCTTGAACCTAGGGTGTTCATCCAAAACAGGCTGGACAGTGAAGCACTGGATGTCTGGAATCCCTGGAGTTAAGGAGGACTTCACAAAGAGTCTGTTGAACACAGCGTAGTTCCAATTGTAGCAGGTGTCAGCTGGGATTTCAAAGCCAGCTCTTCTGGGTCCATGCTTTTATTGAGTATTTGACATCAAATTGCTAGGTCCTAATAAACAGTTAGCAGTCACTTCTATCCTTTTCAGATTACCTGCTGCCTTGCAACCTTATCGCTGGGCTCTGCTCCTGCTAACCAAGTTGGTTGGTAGACTCTGACTACTGCTAACATTTCTGTGTTCCCATTATGAATACAGCTCTTAATCATTTGCACAGTACATCTTCCCATGATCTCATTTAATCTCTCTAGTTTCAGTGAGTGACACTGTTCTCTTCTCTGGGGAAGTCAGAGGAGCAACATTTTGCAGGTCACAAACCTTGTAATAATAGAGCAGGACTTTAACATAGGTCTCTAAATTCTGAGCTCAGAATTCTTTGATGCTTAACTTGCTGCTCAAACGTGGTCTTCTGGTCACTTAAAGATTGCAAACAACTGTCTGCAGTAGGATGGTGGGCAGCCCTGTCCAGGCTCAGTGGAAAAAAAGAGTCTCATGATGGGTGCCTGATATGGGCACCAGTTACTGGAGAGGTTCGATGTGGCACATATCCTTGTTATGCCTATGCTGAAGGGGACTCCATGTTACATGGAATCGGCAAAGGTAATGCTTAACTGACATGATAAATCTCAATGCAAGTGTTTTTGCAATCCTCAGCCTTCTTTCTCCAGTCATACCATCAAACGCTTTATTTTAGAGGGAAACCACCCTGGTTGGAGCCTAGAGCAGGAACTGCCAAACTACGGCCTTTGGTTAAATCTCGATGACCACTCACTCCATATCATCCCAGCAAAGAATAGTTTTTATTTTTCTCAGTAGTTACCAAAAGAAGAATTTTTTTTTTGTGGTGTGTGGAAACTGTAAATTTAAGTTTCAGGGTCCATAAATAAAGCCTTATTGGAGTTTAGCCACGTTCATCTATTTATGGACTATCAGTGGCTGCTTTCCCAAGGCAACGTCAGAGTTGAGCAGTTATGCCAGGAAGCACATGGCACTTAAAGACTAAAATATTTCCTATGTTGTCCTATACCAGTAAATTGCCAACATTTATTTTAGAGTTGGTTTTCAGGGTCATATATATTGTTCTCAGCCACCGGGTTTGGTCCATGAAGAAGGCCAGATGTGTTCTGGGGAAGCCGGTGACACCAGTGCCCTGGAATCAAGGTTGCCTGCTTAGTTTTCCATTCCATTTGCTGATTTCATGCATGGAACTCTGCAACAAAGGCCCTTTTACAAAGAACCTTAGCAGTCCAATGTCTTTCCTCACCTGGAATCCTAAAGGAGAAGACAAAATGTATCACTGTCCCAAGTAGTCTGTCAACTTTTGAACAAGTGAAGGCAAGAGCACAGAGTATAAAGAAAGAACCAACATCTCGACCAAAAAAAAGTGGACCTGAGTTGAAAGCCAGGCTCCATCACTTCCTAGCCTGTGATCTTGTACAAGCTGCTGCAATTCTTCGAGCCTGTTTCCTTATTAGCAAAGTGAAGAGAGCAATGAGATAGACTTAAGAGGTTAAAACGAGACAATGCATGAGAAATGCTTAGTATGTGGAAAACAAGAGTATTCTGTTTGTTGATCTCTTTTTTTAATGATGATGCACTAATAGGCTGTGTGGGGTTCAAATATGAACTCTACCACTAACTGGTTTTGTAAAAATAAGAAAACTGCTTTACTTCTCTGCTCACATATTCCTTGTTTATGAAACAGGGGAACTTACTGCTCACCAAACAAGATGTAATAGAGTCTAAAGAAATAATGCTCATAAAGCTCTGAGTCCCATGTGAAAAGGATACGTCACAAAGGTCAAACCTCCCCAATTTCTTTACCACCTGCTTCCTGGAACCGAGTCAGCCTCAGAATCCTAAATACTGTGATCTGGCCCAGTCACGTATGCCCTCTGCCTCCATTCCAAGTTAGAAACCCACGGAGCCAGCCAACCCTGGGCTGTCCATTCAGGAAAGTGTTGAGTCTGATCCTATATCGCATCTGTAAGCATACTCACTTTTGTATCTAGCCAGGCCGCAGTCCACTGCAATTCCTCCTGCAAAAGTCATGGTAAGGCACGCAAGAGGTACAGGAGGGCATACTGAAAAGGTCACTGACGAATATTTATCACTCAAGGGGAAAAATGTGGATTAATGTTCAGCAAGCTTCACAGAGCAGCCATGCAACCTGTCAACCCATTTTAAAGGCTATAACTTAATCTTTGCTAACAGGTGCAATGCAGGGAGCCAGGATAGAAGGCCATGCCCTTTGGCTCAGCAGTCAGCCTTGCCTCATGCTTAGCGGGTCAGCTCCCAATCCTATAGATGCCACATTCTGTGACCTCAGTGCCCATTATAAAGTTCATGAAAAGTGGAATTAAAAGAGTGTTTATTTTTGTGCCAAAAAACGGAAATCCATGTGGAGTTTTTTGCAATATATACTTTCCACAAACTTTTTGAAGACCTTTCCTATGCATTGATGTCAAAATTTTTTTTTCACCAAAACAAATTTTTCTGTCATTCCATCTCTTGTGCACTTTTGGGCAGACTCTCATCTTTCACTCTAACCAACCCCATCAGCACCATTTCCTGCCCTCCACTCTACCATGCATTCTCTAAGTCTGGCTCCCCCCTTTCTGCCCTTCTCTACTCATCTGTTTCTGTTTTCCTTTTATTTCTCTCTTATGTTTTTTGCTTTACTAAACAATAAACATATACTCAGCATAGTTTTGTTCTAAGCGACAGAAGATGGGAAATTCCTGCAGGGCATAAGGCTGGGCAAGGGTCTCCACTGAGGAGCTTACCTTCACATACTTCTAACCCACGCACGCAATAATGACAGATTGAGGTCCATTCTCTTGAGAAAAGCATCAGGGTGTGAGATAACAGGGACATGTCAGGTCTAGAAAAGGCCACTTTAGATAAGGAAGCCTCTTCCAAGAGGTGATGCCATGTTAGGATCCAACTGGTGAAAAATAGCAAGTCTTGTAAGGACTCAAGGAAGGGCAGTCCTGCTTGGGGGGGGGGGCAAGAGAGAAGGCAAAGACCCAGAGGTGGGAAGGAGTTGGGCATACTGAAGAGTCAGAAAGGAGGCTGGGTGGCTGGGGGTGAGGGGATGAGGAAAGAAACAAAGTTTACCAGACAGTGGTCACAACATGGAACTCCTGAAAGGCTTCACTTAGTCATTCAGACTTGATTAGAACAAGCAGTGTTCTAATTCCAGCCCTTAGCACCTGCTGCGCTCCTTCCCATTGACTCTGGGATGCTCGCCTCATTTCCCACCATGCCTTGCCTGGTTCTTTCCCTTATACATGATCTGCCTTAAGGAAGCCTTCTCTGCTTTCTCAACTACAGTACCCTGGCAAGGCTCCCTCTAGTAATGAATCATATTTTTATAAATAAATACTTAATAGTACAATTCATTGTTCTGTCTCTTTTACTCATTACCCAGCAAGCTCCCTGAATACAAGAATACTCTGTGAATGTGCATCCCCAGTGCCTTGTGCAACACAGGCATAGAGTCAGGGCTTGAGAACACCATTATAAGAATGAATGCACAAGCGACTGAAATCATCAAAGCATGCAGCATTTAGCATGCACTATGCTCCTCTGGGATCCAAGAGGAGTTGGTTCCAGAATGTCTTGTAGCTACCTAAATAAGTGGATGCTTAGGTTCCTTCTAGAAAATGATGCATTATTTGCAAAGCATCTACGTACATGCTCCAGTAGATTTTAAATCTCTAGATTACTCATCATCTCTCCTGAAATGTAAAGGCTCTGGGAGTAGCTCTGACAGGGCATTGTTTAGTGAATAATGATAAAATAAACATCTGCACATGTTCAATACAGACCAAATCCTTCCCTCCCACACACACACCCACATTTGCATATGAGATTGGGAGAATGCACAGAAGGAAAACCTGCATGAAGGGCTCTGGACCACACCTGTGCCCTGATGGCACCCCACCTGTGCCCATGGTGGCAACCAGTGCAGCAGCAGCTCTGAGCTTGAAAACACAGCTGCGTGACTAAAGCAAGCAGTCTGCCCAATGCATGGCTCCTGCGCTGGAGGCATTTTGCAAGGATACACTGGCCTGGAGCATTCTTCACATCATCCCCGGGGGCAGAGGTCGTGTTCATCTTCTCTGCGTTGGGGAACTGGCTCATCAGCTGCATCTGGAAATCCTCTCTTCGCTCATACTCCTTCCCTCGGTAGATGAACACTTTGTTCTGCAGAGAAACCACATCCATCCATGATCCCAGGGTCCAGGCATGGCAGACACGGACCCTGCAAATCTTGGGAGCTTCTGAGGTGCCCGTGGAGCTGTGAAGCCCTGCATGAAATCTCTTGTTCCTTATTGTCCCCAGCAGGATGAAGAACTCAGTGTCACTGACCTGGCTGAGTACACGGCTTCCTTGAAAAGCCTGGTCCAAGGGGAAGAGGATTGTGGATGCCGTGACTTCTTGGACAGCCCTATGCACAGTATCCAGAGTAATTGTTGGCTCAACTTGTCCTGGGCCACACCCATGTTCCTGTCTACAGGGTCACAAAATTTTCCTCCTGCCCTCATTCGGTTTCTGGGCTTGTTGGCTAGCCTGGTTCTTTCCCAAAATCCATGGAGAAACCCCATTAACCCTTCCATTGGTCTCTGTGAGACCAGAAGCAGTCAAATGGAAATGATTTTGTACTCCTTGCCAAGGCATAATGGAAGCATCCAGGTTCTCTCTGGTTGTCACAACTAGGGTAGGAGGTGTTCCACGCACTTAGTGGATAGATCCTAGCAAACACATGATCTGACAATGAGCAGGACAGTCCCTGGAACCAACAATCATTCGATTCCAAACATCAATAGTGCTGATTATATCTGTGCCATCACTGCTGCCTCAAATGTCCCTCTAGTTCCTCTGCCTAAACCCAAGCCTGTACTTACCTGTGCTTCCAATTCTATCATCAGAGGATCCTAGAAGACCTTCGCAACTTCATATTCCCAGGTCTCCCTCCACTCCTGCTGAAATGGAATCTATGGGAGGTAGGCCTGGGAATGTGCATTTTTAACACAAGTTCCCCAGGGCATTTTTGACATGCAGTCAGGTTGAGGAGCCATCTCTCGTTCTTTGGGGAACCCTCAGCACCTATCCCGAGTATTGCTGTGATGCGGTCTCTCTTACAAGTCCACTCTGCCCGCCACATTAATCGTAATCTATCTCCTTGCCTATAAATCAAGGAAGGTCAGAGATAAGATTTGCTAATTCTTTTACATCTTCCTGACCCCCAAATTGAACTACAATCTTGCAGACTGGCAGGGACCCTACAGGTGACAACAACTGACACTGCATAACAGATCAAGACTGACAACAGCAGTGACTCAAGAACTGCTCAGTCCCCAAGAACTTTCTGGGAGCCTACACGATCCACACTATCTCCATAATAGTACAAAAGCTGTTACTTGTTTTTTCACTCTTATACTCTCATGAGTGCCTAGTGGATATTTCTAGAAGCTGAATGACGTGTACTGGCAACAGACTGTAGAAGCAGATACGAAAATCTAGCAATCTTTTTCTCTTTCACCAGACATTAAAAAAAATCTGCGGAAGTATAAGATAACCACACTCTTTTTCCATGATTCCTTAATTAGAAAACATAGGAGATGGCAGTGTGGCATCATGCATTAAGTTTAATGCTTGTGACATTGGTATCTCACATGGGTACCCGTTTTTGTCTTGGCTGCTCCTCTTCTGATTCAGTTCCCTCCTGTTGGCCTGGGGAAAGCAGCGGAAGATGGCCCCAAGTGTTTGGGCTCCAGCTGCCCACGTGGGAGACCAGGAGGAGACTCCTGGCTCCTGGTTTTGGCCTAATCCAGCAGTGGCCATTGTAGCCATCTGGGGAGTGAATGAGCAGACTCTCTCCCTCTCTCTCTCTGTTTCTTTCTATAACTCTTTCAAAATACATAATATTTTAAAATTGCGACTTATGTTAATATACTATTGCTATTTTTAAATCATTTGAGAAATGGTTTAACATTTCCCAGCTTTCATTTTTCATATGGCAAATGTAAGTAGAGGGCATTTAAGGCATCTAAGACTACAGAAGTCTTTTGTGATCCTCAGTAACTGTTGGCCCTGAGACGAAACAGCCTACAGATTGTGCTACAGCAACTCCTGGATGGCAGACATCATCCAGCCTTTCTCTGAATATCTCGTTTCAGTGACGGGGAACTCACTACCTCACAAGGCAGCTAGAGTTGTTGCATAGAGAAACACAATAGGTGACGGATGTTAGTAAGTATGATGGGGGAGGGGATGGAACTGATCGAGGAGTCAAGCGATGGTGATGATGATGATCATGCTGATGCCAGAAGACAGTACAGGTTTGAGCTACGAGCCTCTGAGCATAAGAACATCCTCAAAGGGATTACAGTGATGTCAGGCTGTGTGTGACCCCAGCCTGCTCTCTGAGTTACCCATATACTCACCCGCAGAAAGGAGGGGAAACCCTGGCCATAGTATCCAACAGCAAAGTAGTCTGGCTTCGGCCTGAGGACCTTCATGATGTTTTCATAGAATTTTGCCTGCTGAATCTGCAGGAAGAACACACAGCTGGTAACCATACAGGTACACACCTGTACGGCACACTCCAATCCAACGCACATTCAGTTTAAAGAGTTGCCATTTGGCACAGTGGTGAAGACGCGGCGTGTGATGTCCCATCCCTTATCAGAATATTTGGGCTTAAGTGCCAGTTGTGCTCCCAATCCCAGCTTCCTGCTGATGTGTGTTTCTGGAGACAGCAGGCGATGGCCACCTATGTCAGAGACTCAAGCTGAGTTCTAATTTCCTGGCTTCAGCTTGGCCCCACCCAAACTGCTGTATTTGAGGGAATGAAGCATGAATTGGAAATCTCTCTCTCTCGTCTCTTTTTCAAATCAATAAACAATTAATTTTGTAAAACAAGTGGAGACAGATAAGATACTACCATTATACTAGAACCAGTGTGTCAAGTAAATATATTCATGCAGCTATGGCTGCACCAAAAATCTCAATAGCAGTAGCTACAGTTACAACCTTCTGGGTCATTTGTGAATCCCTTGCCTGCATCAGCTCATTTCCCTGCATCATCCTTATAACAAACCCATGAACATCTCCACTTTAGAGACAAAGGTATGTCATACAGGGTGCAGAAGGGAGCCTAGACACACCCAGGGGCCCCTTCATCACCACTCTGTTCCCACCCCAAGCACTCAGCTCCGTGTTTAGAGGGCACACAGGTGGGTAAGTCTCTTTGCGCATCTGACATAATCCACCAACTCTAACAGGCATTTTTCATATTTTGACATCTCTGAAGATAATCTGCATCTTACTTTCTACCTCTTATGGCATCTTATTAGTGCAATTGGCCCTAAAGAAATCAAGACATAGAACATAGAAAGAATAGTGTGAATGCCTTTAGGGCTATACTTAAGATGTTGGGATGTCCATGTGTCATAATGAAGTGCTTGAGTTGGAGTCCGGGCTGCTCCTGTTTGCAGCTTCCTGTTGCTGAACATCCCAGCAAGCAGCAGATGACGGCCCAATTCCTTGGGTCTCTGCCATCCACAAGGGAGATCCAAATTGCATTCTGGTCTCCTAACTTCAGCCTGGCCTAGCCCTGGTGCGAAGTGACCTGATAGATAAATCATTTCCCTCTGTATTTCTTTTTCTCTGCCTTTCAAACAAAAACTCCAAATAGAACAGTGCACCTTGCAATCAATAGCATCTTCAGTTTGCTGTAGTATGAAGTTACATCTGGACCCAGACAGGGTGTATAATGTATAATGGGAACTGGAGGAAGGGATGTGTGTGCATGAGTGTGCACTGGGGGTTGTGTGGGAGTGATTGCACACATTTGGAAGGAACGTATGACTCCATGTCTCCGAATGTAGGTGGATACCAGTGCAGATTGTGAGCTGTGTGTTGGTGCAAGTCCATACCGAGGCACATAGTTAGACATAGAGCAAACAGTTAAAGGCTCAGTTGCTTTCAATAAGATCACCAGCCCCCAAACCCCTCTTATCCCCATGAAAAAACTCTCAATCCTTTTCTAACATTGACTCTCATTCTGTAGTTCCCTAGAAACAGTTGGACTGGCCTAAGAAGGGACTCTGGCGTCCTAGTGCTCAGGCAGCCAGTAAATAGAGAGAGATGCTGGGGAAAGAGTTGCCAAGAAGTTTGGTTTGCCCTACAGAGCCTAACTCTCCACTGAGCCCCAGGTCTGGCAACACCTGCAGGGCAGACTAGCTCCCCCGACCCTGCATTCTCTCTACCAGATCACAAGCATGGACATGCTGGAGGCAACAGCCACATAAAGAGACTTTTAATGTGACACACTCATTCATCAGAAGGCACCAGTTGTGATTTCATTTAACTGTTTTAGTGATATGTGGAGTTTTTAGTACGAATGTAGCACAGCGTTCACTTACTGGGTGTGCTGGGGCCATAGCAGCCCTAGTGCCAGGCAAATACTTTAATACTCCAGGACAGGTAAGGTGGCTGCAGAGTTTTCTCAGAATGCTTTCCTTTGGACTTTGTTCCAGATGGAGGGGAGACATTCAATACAACTTCACTCAGCACCACTGCCATTTTTCCATTTCTGATATGCCTGGCCTCCTGCCCCTTGCCCAAGGCTCCCGCCCTCCTGGGGAGCAAACACCTTACCAGATTCTGACTGAGTAGCTCGTAGTCAAAGACTTCCATCTCATACTGCTCTGCCAGCTCCTTGCACAGACTGATGGCCTCTTCCCACATCTATAGCAAAGTCACAGAGACAACAGTTAGGGGCTACCTCCAAGTTCATGGGGCTCTGGCTAAGGAAGGGACCCATGCCTTGTTGTGCCACCTGGGACTGAGTTACATGCTTTGTTCTGATATAGCAGGGAGCTGGGGAATTCCTGGGGACAGTGACCTTCCACTGCTATCCTCCCACCCTAGGACAAACAATGAAGTAGGTCTAGAAGGGCCAAGCTTCACGACTATGCTGAGGGCAATAAACCACAGCCAGGTGAGAAAGGAAATTCAGGGAGCAAAAGAGATGGCGCAGGTCAAGGACCCAATAAGACACAGGGCCAGGATGCAAGCCCAGGTATGTGACTCCACTCCCCGACTTAGGAGTGCTTCAAAAATGAAACCCTTGGTTGCTTCAGCTTCCTCAGTGTACAAGTTGGATCCACTGGTTAAAGAGAAATAGTTCAACAGAGGAGTGGACAAGTGGCCCAAGGTCAGGTAGTTTCTGGAAGTGGAACTGGGGCCTGCGTTGGGCTCCTGGGCATCTTCCCACTCTGCTAAACCTGGCCCTTTCTACTGAGATGCTATGGTATGTGGCAATGAGAGCAGGTAGGGCTGGAGGTGATAGAGTGTTAAAGAAAACAAAATCAGACCTTTTAAAAATAGGTTTCTTTCCGTCTTCGAAAAAAAAATTTGAGGAAACAAAAAAAAATCTGGGTATAAAGGATGTTTTTTATTTTTACTGTCTTCAGCCTGAAATGAACATCCTTCCCACACCATTCCAGACTTAAGGGGGTCAGGGGCCTCTGCGGAGCTTTGGAGAGGTACAGGGTGGGCTGGCTATCAGCCCATCTCGGGGGCTGGCCCTTAGAGTGCACATTTGGTTTAAAGTGGAGAAAGCCCCTAAATGGAGAAGCTGGGGGAGGCAGGGGAAGAGAGAGGGGGAGGTTGCCAAAATGCAGTGGGTGCTGTGCAGTAGAAGTGCTCTCTGCATCCAAGCGTAAAAATAAATAAGACCAAGGGCCGAGTGGAGGAGCTTCAGCTGCAAGCCCGAGGCAACTTAGTGAGCAGCATAAAGATGCTTTATGTGCCAAGAGGAACGAAGTCTTCACCCTAGGTCGTGCTTTTTCTCTACACCCTGAGCAAGAGGGGTCTGATGACGTCCCTGGGCAAGCCAGGGATTGTCTGGCTCAAACGGAAGTTCTTTGCCAACTGAACATCCTAAGGATAGGAAGAAGACAACACGCTCTCCCCATGGGTTAAACGATCATCAAGGGACAAGGGCAGCAAGTCAGGGGCCTGGGATTTCCTAGCACCTGCTAGATTTTAGGCATGGTGTGGTCTGCAGAAATGGAGCACATACACAGAAGGATAAGGGACTGGCACTGTTGCACAATGGGATAAACTGCTGCCTGCAACACTGACATCCCATCTTGGGATGGCTCCATTTTGGAACATTTTGGTTTGAGTCCTGGATGCTCTGCTTCTTATCTAATTCACCGCTAATGCACCTGAGATGGCAGTGGAAGATGGCTCGAGAACTTGGGCCTGTGTCCTCCACATGAGAGACCCAGATGGAGCTCCTGGATTCAGTCTTCAATATGACCCAGACCCTGACTATTGAAGCCATTTGAAGAGTGGATCAGCAACTGGAACCTCTCTCTCTCTCTCTAATCCTAACCCTCTCTTTGTCTCATGAATGCTTCAAATAAATAAATAAATAATTCTAAACAAAATATGGACAAGAAATAGTGTCTGATGCTGCCAAACCTAAGTGGGAAAAGCGCTGATAGACGAAATTTCAAGGGGTGAAGAGAAGTCTTTCAGGTGGTCAGTAAATGGACTCGCAGAATAAAAACACATGATGTGCGTCTGCAGCAATGAGTCTCCCTGAGGAGGTGTGAGGCAGGAAAGCTGGAGGGGCACATTCTAGAAGCTTTCACAGCAGTGGCATTCAGGGTGAATGGTATTTATCTGCTCCTTCCAGTGCTTCCAGCACTAACCCAGTCCCTTGCCCTCTTCCTCATTGCCTTGTACAATACCCAAAACATCTTGCTCAGTAAAGATAACTAGTGCCATGTTTGTTTTGCCCACTAAATGGATCTTTGAGCTTGTGCCACCTTCTCTTCATTCAGCAGAATGGGCTGAATGGAATACTCGGCTGAGGACAAAACCCAGCATATATTTTGAAGGTTCCCACATTGCAATTGACTTTTTTAGCTATCTGATAAATAAGAAGCCTGCCTTGCTGCCATCAGGGCGGGAGAAACAAGGAATGGGAGAGCCTGTACCCTCAAGAGGTTTCTAATAGTAAATTTTGCAGTTTCCCCCAAATGGCTCAACTCCGGCGAATTTATAAGCTCTTCTACAGACATTACCTCATTTTATCTTTCCAGGGAAGGTGGGGAGAGCAGGACCGAGTCATAGGCAATGGACTGCAGTGCCAGGGTGGAGCAAAATGGAGTGTTAAATTACATCCTGATGAACTGTAAGAAGTCTTGCAATTAAAAGTGAGGTAGGGCTGTAGGTAAGCCTGAGGACTTGTGAAAGGCTTGAGAGAGGAAGTGGCAGGATAGGGCCAACAGGATGGTAATTAAAATTTAGCAGATATTACTATGTGCCGGTTCCTACACAAAGTGCTCTGCATGCATTTTCTCACCTAATTTTCACAATACAACTAGGAAGTAGGCACAAGTGGTATCTCCCTGTTATGGATGGGAGCTGGAATTGCTGAGAGGGCAAGACAACTGCAAGTGGTAGAGAAGCAAGGAGTGAAGGCTGGGTGTCTTGGCTCCAGAGTGCAGCCACTTGGCACTCCTGCGTGCCCATCTCCTACTGGATGAATGCTGGCACCTGGGCTTGCACTTCCAAAAAGTCCACTGGAGACTGGAGCTGGGCAATAGTTGGTCTGTGCAGCCTCTTGACCAAACTCAACCCAGCAAGCCTACTGTTAAAATGTCAAGGATGGCACCCCATCACTTGTCCACTCAATCCACTCACGGATCTGACATATGATCCTTGGGTTCTGTATGCTAGATTATGTTTTTAGTCTCTGAGCATTCTGCAGGGGACAAGACGCGCTCTGCTCTCGAGGCACCTTCAAGTGCGAAACCAATACACAATGAATGAAGTGATATCTGGTAGAAGAATGAGAGTGATACAAGTTGGGGTGCCGCTGCTTTGTTGAGGAGTGGTCATGGAAGACTTCCTTCAAGGACATGACATCTGAGCAAAGCCCTGAACAAGAAAAGGAAACAGCCTACTAGGGAAAAGCTCTGAAGCAGGATTGTTCCAAGTTGGGAAAAGCAAATGCAAACATGCTGGGGTTGAAAGGAGCTTGGCACTAAGTATGTGGACAAGAGGAAATCAGGCAGGAAGAAACTGAGAGAAGTGGCCAACGCACAGTTTCTGTGGGTCCATCTTATTAAAAAATTTTCATTTTTTGTTGTTGTTGTTGTTGTTTAATCTTACTGGGAAGTGAGCAACAAATAAAGATACAGAGAGATGGAGAGCTTCCATTTGCTGGTTCACTCCTCAAATTCCTATAATAGCTGTGTCTGGAATAGGCCAACACCAGGAAAACAGAACTCAGTGTAGGTCTCCCATGTGGGTCATAGAGATCCAAGAACATGGACCATCACTTGCTGCAGCACAGCATTCCCACTAGCAGGGAATTGGATTGGAGGTGAAGTAGTTGTGGGACCAATGTTGTGGCACAGTGGGTTAACTCAATACCTACAATGTTAGTATCTGATATTAGAGTTCCCTCTTGAGTTTTTGGTTGTTTCACATCTGATGCAGTTACCTGTTGATATAACTGGGAAAGCAGTGGACAACACTCTAAGTATGTGAGCCCTTGCCCCCATGTGGAAGACCTAGATGGAATTCCAGGCTTCTGGCTTCAGTTTGACTCAGCTCCAACCCTTGTAGTAATTTGGGGAGTGAATTAACGGATGGATAATCTCTCTTCTCCCTTTGTGTTGTTCCTTCCCTCCATTACTTTACCTTCCAATCAAATAAAAAGAAATCTTAAAAAGTAAACAAAGATACAGACTAGCTAGGACTCAAGGCAGCCTGTCTGATATGGGATGTGGGCATCTTGAGTTGCGTTTTAACCATTGCGCCAGATGCCCACCCACTTGGGGCCTATGTGGGAGCCAATGAGATGACAGTAAGCAGAATGGCATGATACTACATGTGGTTTTGATTAGCTTGTTTCTTACGTGAGGGATAATTCTAAGGAGAGGAGGGACAGAGATGGAAGACACAGGGACACTGCTTAGGAGCTACTGCTGTGCCAAAGGGAGGGACATTGATACCCGGAATAGAGGTGACAGAAATGGGCATAAGCAGAGAGTGGGGGAGAAGTGAATACATTTAGGGTCTGGAGGGATAGCTGACCAATTCAGGAGAGACCTGAGGATGAACTGGGTGGAGACGATGGGTAACAATGATCCTTTCTAGAGGCCAGAGTGCACACTGAGCGAGAAGGGGCAAGGACACCTTACCTTTCCTTTGTCGAAGTAGCCTATGATGGTCTCATAGAGTGTCTCCTTCAGCTGCCGGTGTGTCTGAGGGTGCTGTTGGCCGGTCTGCATGACCTGTGAGGCGCACTGCTCATCTGACCACTGCCAAGAGAGGACACAGCAGGTCACACGGGCTGATTCCAGAATTAGAGGCAGAACCACTGTTCACTAAACTCCATCTTCTTTTCTCCCCAAATTGGCTCACTTCTGAAAACTCAGGGCACTATTGCGCAGCTGCCCTCCTGGGCATGAGTACCCACTGACCTCCCAGGGGACAAACACATGAACATGAGCTGTCAGGACCACGCTGTGGAGGAGCAGGATGAAGCCCTGTCAATCATTTTTCTGCTGGCTCTCCTACTGCTCTGGTGTCAGCAGCAACACACAGAGGTGCTGGGCTGTGAGTCTCACTTGCCAGGTGCCTCCTGGTTACGGCTCTGTAGTGCTTGTCTGATTCTGTACTGGCTCACCACATGCAGCTGGTAGGATCTTCTCCAAACCCCAATGAGACAAGCTGCTGGTTCTTCAAAAGCCAAAGAGAATTATTCTTTGTCCAGGGTTAGCAACATTTTCAAGAGAAGAAAAACAGCTCAGTGGGCATGCTAATGATTTACTGCTGATAACAGGAAGTTATAGAAAATGGTACAACACATCTTGGGGGCTAAATAGGCAGGTCACACAGGACCCGAGGTGATTGGATAAAATTGTCGGCTGCAGTTCAGCAGCCTGCGATTTGCAGTTTGAGAATAGCTAGTCAACAACTCTATCTGGACAATCTTTTTCTCTGTTTTTCTCTTGGATTTGCAGGAAAAGTCTGATGGGAATGCCAGCCTGAATCCCCCTCACGCTTTGGGTAGGTACCTTGAGAAGCCACGTGTGCAGAAGGAGCGTGTAGGCGGCCTCTGTGTAATTATCACAGTCCAGGTGGAGATCACGCAACTTGTACAGGTACCTGTTTCAGGGAGCACAGGCTGAGTTATCAAGTACAACAATAAGGGGGATATCTGGCAGGGACAGGAAGGACCACTGACTGCCCATTGGAATAACCAGGCCCCCCTCCAGGTCACCAGGAAGTCTTCCACCCTGACCTGCCAGTCCTGTGTGTGTGCGAATGGAGGGGAGGGTTGCCAAGGGGGGATGGTAACAATGACAGAACCTAGCACTTGCTCAGCACTCAGGTTGTTTCAAGGGACTATGCTACATGTTTTAAATGCCTCTAGCCATTTGATCCTCATGAAGAGGCTCTGTTGGGAATTCCCATTTTTGGATAAGAACATCAAGGCCTGATAAAGTCAAGTACCAACCCATCCCACCATTCTACATGGTCCAAAAGGGTCTGGCCAAGGTAGTACGACAGGTCAGGAAAAGAAAGGGAGGGATGAATAATATGTGTGAAGTTATGTGCTAACGAATGGCAAAATGTGACACCCACTGCTTTGCTGTGTGATTCTAGGAGCACAACCCAGGCATGACACCTGTAAAGGGTGGCACCCACTCTCTCAAAGCGCATTTTCTGGCAACAAGGGAAAGGTGGGTTAGAGAATGATTTTTCACATGCCAGCTGTCAACAGGAGGGTGAATGCACAGCCACAATCATTTTCTCATGCCTTATTTCCTTGCAACATGACATGCTAGTTCTAGACCCTAGGGTGACAAGAGAGTGGAAGGGTATTGATGAAAGGAAGAAAGGCGAGCTTTGGTGAATTCTTAAATGATCGATCCATAGCAGATATAAGGGGGCAGTGAATTGGCTTCTTTGCACCTCAGTTGGTTTATCTGTGAAATGGAAAAACTTATAGAAACTATTTAGAGAGTTTTCCTGCGTCTGAAGATCTATTCAGATCACACATGGCATATCAAAGACTCTGCAAGTGCTCAACAGTGTGAGTGCTGATCAGTGCTGTAGGCACTGAAGGTGATTTGCTGGTAGCTGATACTGAGCAAGGAGAGTTGTTAGCTGTTACCACCTAGCTAGGCTCTTCTACAAAGCAGTCTCACTGGGATCAGAACCAGGATCCACAGCCAGATAACCTTGTCTGGTGACTTGCATGTGGTCAGTGGCATTGATTAAAACTCAAGTCTTGGTGACCTGGTGAAGGGAAAATGTTTGAGTTTGCCAGGATTCCTCCTGACCACATGTCTCCCACTGGGGGACACAGGACATCTGCCCCAAGTGCAGAACTCAGTGTTCAGGCTTGGAGTCCTGTAAGCAGAAAGCTTTTCTGTAAAGGAGGATCCAAAGCCAGGAGGTAGGTAGCCTCCAGTAGTGGCTACAGGAAACTGGAATGGGAAGGAAGGCCACCTAGTAACTGGACAACTAGTGAGTCCGGCCACCCTAGGGACCTTTGCTCATCCACTCTTCATCCAGCAAAGTGGTCCTGCACACCCAGGTTGTACTGGGCATTAGTGAGAAACTTCTGGCAGAAGTAGTTACCTTACTGCTTGGTGACATCTTCTATGACACAGACATAGATCAAATCAACAGACAAATAATTGTGAAAATGCAGCAGTAACAACTGTTGCAAAAGAGAGGTCTGTGATATTGGGGGTTGGCGGCAAAAGTGGGGAGGCAGACTGATCCAAGTGGGAGAGAAGGGGCTTCCGGGAAGTTGTCCATAGCATGACAAGTTTGGCTAAGCTCTGAAGGGGAAGACAGAGGAGGCGCAGAGGCCCAGGAGAATCATTGGTCAATTGACTCTTTCAACACCTGAGTGCCTTATTACCGTAGAGTCTCCCAATTCATCCCCCTCACCATATTTTGGAGTTGAGAAGGTAGATACAGATGTGAAAATAGAGTCAGAAATGGGTAGATGCCAGATTTAATGTAACCACCTCTGCCTCCAGAGACAGGGTTTTTTCTGTCCCCCTCAGCTCTCAGAAAGTCCTTGGGGGAAATGGCACATGATCCCCTGGCAGAGGACCGGAGTCCAGATACACCTGTGTGTGATCATTCATGGCCTGTGCTCGCCTTAGCTCCTCCTATACATTCTTTGCTCCTGGAACCCATGGGTGGCAGGGTCCAAAGAGCATGGACACAGAGGACAGAAGGAGAGCTCCCATGTACTGCCAGCTCCCAAATAGGCCAAAAAACTCTCTTTCATCCTCTGTGAACTCAGCAGTTGGATGACATGTTGCCAAGCTCAAACATGTCATCCCAAGAAGTTTCACCAAGAAGGTCAAACCCAACCCTTCGATGCCAGATGCTTGAGGCAAGTGAGTGGGGTGAGGTGTAACAGGGAATGGTGATGGTGCCAAGACCACAGCACTTAGGTTTGTGTCTGGACAGGCTTTCACTACCCAGTTCAGATGACAGTCACAAAAAAGAATAAGAGTCTAGCATTCCCACACCTTCCCAAGTTTGGGGAAAAGGAGCAAACTTTGACTTTTATGCAAAACCTCTAGGTTTTACAATTTTGGCAACCAATTAAAAAAAAACTGTTTTAAAAATATGACGCCTGCCAAATAGAACAGGTTTTCAGACCATCCCCTGTTTGCAATGTCTGACTTAGGAAAATATGGTTTTCCTAGATTGCTATGGGCCTCCAGTCTCCAAAGCTTGTGGAGGTCTGGAATTCACCATCTGTGTTTCTAAAATGAGAAGGAGAAAGAAAAAAAAGATTGGAGTGAGGCAACCATGTGCCAGGCACATCACCCACATTATCTTCTTTAACCCTCAAAGTAGCAGGTGGAATGGAATCATTCCACAGACCAGAAGCCTCAGCTAATTCCTATAGTTGCTTTTCCAGGGTCACAAAGAAAAGAAGCAGGTCCTCCAGACCTCAAATATTTGTTCTACTATAATAAGCTGTGTCTAATGCAGGTACAAGTACTCAGGCTCAGGACAGTCTACGGAGTTATCTGTTCCCTAAGTGGTAGTTCTTGTTTCTGGAAGATGGTCAAATGAATACCCCAAATATCTACAGTGACAAGAGTGCAAGTTTATACCCAAAGTTTCTGCCCCTAGACCATGGGAGTCAAAGGCTCTTTAAATACCCTGTCCCTGATCTTCTGGGTGGTTCTACCTCACAAGTGCTTACCTCATAAGGATGGGCACAAAAGGATACATCCACAAATGTTAGGAATGTTTTTGCTGTGCTATTTATTATAAAAACAGGTTGGAAAACAAATGTCCACCTACATAGCTTGACTATGTAAAAATTTTTTTAAAACGACTTTCATATTTTTATGTGAGGAGAAAAGAGAGAGGGAAAGAATGAGTGAGAAAGCAAGCTCCTAATGGCAGGTTCACTTCCTTATTCCCCACAAAAGCTGGGGCTGGGCCAGGGCTGAAATCAGGAGCCTGGAACTCAATGCCACGGCTCCATGTGGGTGTCGGGGACCCAACCATCTGCCGCTTCCAACGTCCTGCATTAGCAAGAGACTGCAACTGGGCGATGCGGTTGGCATTCTTTACTGGCCTCTTAACAGCAGTGCCAAAAGTCTACCTAACTGTATAAATCCTGGCACATTTTGAAAGGAAATTTTATGATTTTAGTTAAAGTAATGTTGAAATAGATGTACTGACATGGAGTTCTTGTCAAGTAAATTAAAAAGGAAAGGATAAATTATTATGAGTAACAATTTCATTTTTTGCAAAAAAATGCATAAAAATTTATATATAAATAATAAAAATATAAAAGTCTGGAATACATATGGATAATAAAATCTATTTCAATTTTTTGGCTTATCTGTATTCTAGAGCTTTGTTTTGGTAATATGTACTTGTTATTTTCCTAATGAGCAAAAAAATAAAATAATATGAGAAAACTTTACACAACAAACAATATGAAATTCTCAGAAAAATTGGCAAAGGACTTCTTTGCTCCAGGCTAATCTTAATCCCTCCCCACTTCTCAAGCCACTTCAAGACATATTCAAATTACTATCCTTCAAATGCCAAGAAAGAAGTTTCCACAGTCTTACTGTTTTGTTTTCTCCCTTCAAACTTGTACCAGCTGAGGATCTTATCCAGTGTCTTCACAGGCCATCCTGGACCAAATGCAAATGTAAGTCCCCAGCACAGCCCCCATGATGTTTACCTTTAAGGAAAGCCTGATCTATGGGCACAGGGGGACAGGAAGGTCCCACAGAGCTACAACAGTTTTCTGAAGAAGAGAAAGGGCTGGGTCTGGAGGAGTGCTAGGAATCAGAGGGCTTGAGTGTTGAGAAGTCTGCATTCTACTGTGAATGTAGAGAGGAGCCATCCATGCACAGAGCACAGAAGTGCCTGGGGTTGGTCTGGGTTTTAGAAAATAAAAAGTCTTACCTGATGTACATCTCTTCCCGGTTATTATCTTTGTAGAAATTCTAGGCAAAGGAGGAAAAACGGAGATGAGTGCTTTTCTCTGCAGAATAACCAGGGGGAGAGGGTGGGTGTGGTGGCAGAGGAAGGTATAGGTTTACCATCTGGACACCCCGGGGAGGTAGCAAGACAATGACTTTGCTCAATGCATCCACAGCCTCCCTGGGAGATTTCGCTTTGAAAGCCAGGTCTTTGACCCTCAAAGGAAACAGAGGAAGTGTCTCAGCCACCTGAGTTAGATGCGGCTTTGAGAGGTGGGCTGCCATATTTGGGGTTGGCTACTTTGATTGAAGTCCACTTTGAAAGGTTGCCCAGCTTAAAGTTTTAAAGCTCTGGTCTTGTTGCTGCGGGGTCCTGGACTGCAAATGGAGTAAAATCATTCCAGCAACAGTAACAGCTCCTAGCTTCCCACAGTGCAGGACTCTCAGGAGGATGCCCCAGTCAAGTGCATTTAAAGTTGGCAATGCTAGGAGGCCTGGTCTTTGTTCCAGCTCAGAGGCCATTAGACTACTGGGTGCTGCTCACTTTGGGTTTTAGCACCAAAGGTCCTAATCTTGTGGCATTTTAAAACAAATCCTTACAGACTTGAAACCAAAGTCCTGGTGAACCCTGGTGGCTTAAATCAATGCACCCACAGGTACCTAAGGCTCAGAGAGGACAGGCAACATGCTCCAGGGCATACAGGGTGACAAATCCACACAGAACTCCCCCTTTGCAGATCCTAGCCCCCTCACCCGAAATCCTTCCTCTCCAGCACATGCCCTCATCCTGATCCCATGCTTGAGTCACACACCTAAACCTCCTAGAGTCTCATTGCTTATGAAACTGTCCTGATCTTTCTCATTAATCTGACCGTTGAAGGTCAATTTATTCAACCAACACTCTCTCTTCTTAGAAATTGTTAAATTCCTGGGAAACCCCTTTTCATGTTCTTTATGTAAATTGGGCCTGGTGGAGTTATTAGCACTGAATTCCTTTCTGCTGTAATCAGGATTTTTAGAGTCTCCTTAGCATTCTGGAAAATCAAGGGCAAGATCAAGACTATTAAAAAAAAAAAACAGTCCTCTTAGGGTAAAGGAAGACCACACAGTCGAATTACAAGGATGGGATTCGTGCTTCTGGTGCATTGGGTTGATGGATACCACACAATCAATGGCCAACTGTATTCACTGAAACCTTTAAAGAGGGCTACCATGGTGCATTTGAAACACCACAGGCTCCAGACCTTATCGCAGGACATGTAAGACAGGCTGCTTAGGACACAGCCATGGGAGCTTACCCAGAGATGCTCATGATGTATAGGAGTTAATAATTGGCTCTGGGATTAGCTCCACTGGTTAACCAGGTCCACAGCCATTTTCAATACATACTGGCAATCAGCATTACTCCATTTTATAAGCAGACATAATCTCCAACATAGTAAGCATTCAACCATGGGCCAAACTACACAACCTAATAGGTCCTAGTTTCTCCCCCACAAACAGGTAAGTAAACCAAGACCTCAGAGCATTTCCTTGACTTATCTATTGTACTAGTGAACAGAGGCTCTGTGCCTTTAGTCCTCACACTCTTCCTTTTATGTGACATGTCAGCTACCAGAGTGGAACATTCATCATACCCATTTCATTCATAGGAACACCAAGACACACAAAGGTGACATGACAGGCCTCAAGACGTAGAGCTATCAGGTGGCACAGCACGGACTCAATCCCACATTTCTCTGTCTTGCAAAGCTACCAGCACTACTTCCCTATTGTTGTAAATGGGATATGGTTCGAGTGTGCCACAGGTTGGAATTTGATCTTCAGCATGGAGACGTTGAGAGCTGCTGAAGCCTTCAAAAGGTAAGGCCTAGTACAATGTGGTTAGGTCACCAGGGACGCTGTCAGAAGGGATTAATGTACTTCTCATGAGACCCCAATCAGTTCCAACAAGAGGGATTGTTATGTAAAAGCAAGACTGGCCCCTCCTTGTCTCTGGCTTTGTGTCATCACCCGGCATGATCTCTCCTTCCCGTGCGTGCTCTGCGACTGAGACGCCATGAACTCTTCCCCAGAGCCGAGATGGTGTCAACACTGTGCCGGAACCTCCCAAACTGCGGACTCCATAAACCTATTCTGTTTCGAAACTACCCAACTGAACATGTTTTCTCTCAGCAGTAGTAAACAGACTGGTATACCTATCAAAGGCAATAGCGAGACTCAAAGCCAGTTGGGTCTCTAGTGTGATATGGACAGTGGGGAGGGACCACCAGACCCACGTACCAGCAGGTTCACAGTGCAGCTCATGCGGTTGTCTTTGCTCTCGTCTGTCATCACGCCCCGGTAGTCCAAAAGCTTCTCCAGGAGGCCTTTGACCAGGCTCACAAAGTTCTCCACCGATTTGGCAATGGCCGGGTGCTGTGCAGCACACTCCATCAGGCTGTGGGCACAAGCACAGGGCAGTGAACTTGTAGTAGGGGGAAAGACAGTGTGTGGGGGAAGCAGGGCACATGTGTATGCACACACATGTATGTGCACATGCATGCTAGAAAGTCCAGTGAACCCCAAGTTTCCCTGATTGGTGTGTCATCTCATTTTGTATACAAGTATAGGAGGGCCTGAGAACGTGTGTGGAGAAATACTACTAAAAGATAAATTTATTCTATTGTGAAAATACTTGGTTATCCCTGCATAGCTTTTTCATAATTCAAATTTTTCATGAAGTTTTTGAAGACTTCTCATATGCTTGGATTTCAAAAACCTTTGTACCAAAATAAATTTATCTTTGTAACTCAACCCCAAGAGCTTTGCAAAGTACCCTCATAGCTATCCATATAGTTTAGTAAGTCAATTTTTCCCTACCATTAGAAATGGGGAAAAAATTATAATTTCCCAAGGGAGGTAGTGATATGAAAGAATTGGGCTTCTAATCTATACATTAAAACTGTGCATCATCACAGTTTGTTCGGTAGCAAAAACTAGATTTTGATTTTCATAGTTCTCTATCAAAACATAGAATGTACTTTTCCTGTGACCAAAAACTCTACTTCAGGGAGTTGGTTCTATAGAAATATTCCTCAAAGTTTGAAAAATATATTTATTATACTTATAAATTTCACCTAACAATGAAATAGAGCGATCTTAAATGCTAATCAATTGGAAACAGTTGAATAAATTAAGGCGTATTGACAAAATGTGATTTTATGAGGCCACTGAAAAATATTAGATCAATATGTTTTCACATGAAAACTCCATAAAATACAGAGCTAAGTGAGAGAAGTAAGTCTCAGAACACTATTTACTTTTCAGCTAATTCACCAGCAGAAAGCTTACCATGCCCCAGGTGCTAAGCTAAACATCTTACAATATTAACTTATTTCATCTCCCATCACATTTTTATGAGATGAGGCTCTGGAATACTGGGAAACTAAGCTGTGGGAAGGCCATTGACTTGTCCATGGTTATAAATATCTACAGTTTGGCCCCAACATACATGCTTCAACTACCAGGTACTGTAGGCATGTGCAGCTATAGGGCTGCCATGACATATGGTTAGGAAGCAGAAACAGCCAACTCTTAATGGTACTGCTCTGACAAAAGCTCGAGGTGGGGTGCACAGAGGGCAAAAGCCTTCTTTTTTTTTTCTTTAAGTAAATACATACTGTTTGAAAAAAAATCACAGTACTTGCTGCAAGATTTATATTCTACATTTTTAAATATTTATTTTATTTTTATTGGAAAGTCAGATATACAAAGAGGAGGAGAGACAGAGAGGAAGATTCTCTGTCCACTGATTCATTCTACAACAGCCACAACGGCCGGAGCTGAGCTGATCCAAAACCAGGAGCCAGGAGCCAGGAGCCAGGAGCCTCTTCCGGTTCTCCCACACGGGTGCAGGGTCCCAAGGCCTTGACTTTAGCCGTCCTTGACTGCTTTCCCAGGCAACAAGCAGAGAGCTAGATGGGAAGTAGGGTTGCAGGGACTAGAACTGGTACCCATATGGGATCCCAGTGAGTGCAAGGCGAGGACTTCAGGCTATTGCACCAGGCCCCTATATTTTACATCTTGTAAACAAAATAAGAATGTGGCATTCCTTAAGCATCTATTTGTTGCTAAGCACTATCATCGCTAAGGTGCGATGCGGAGAAGGACACCAGTACAAACAAAATGACACATGACCCTCCAGCAATATAAAGAGAGAAAGATTAAAATCTTTGGTTACTGATGCCTGGATTTGGTACTCAGTTCCAGTTTCCTGCTGATGCAGTCCCTGGAAGGCAGCAGTGAGGACCTCAGGAGCTGGGACTCTGCTATGCCAAGAGGAGACCTGCACTGAAGTTCCAGCTCTGTTGCAGGCATTTCAGAAAGTGAGCCAGCAGATGGAAGTGTCCTCTCTTTCTGCCTCTCAAACAACTTGACTACAAAACTTTAAATGGCTCCTTCATATTGATTCCTTATTCTGTGCCATATACTAATCACCCTTGCTCAAGAAATTCTCACAAGACTATGAGAAATGACAGTTATTATTCCCATGTTACAGGTGAGGAAACGAAGGCTCAGGGTAATGAACCTTCTGGTATGGCTCCAGTAATAACGGTAACTGGTGACCAAGGGAATCAGGGCAACCGCTGTTCCGATTGTGGGACACAGCTTCTCCACAGAGAAGCACCGAAGCATGTCCTCAGGAACCTCAGGGAGACAGACCATACAGACTACTTCTAGCCATACTCCCCATTGCCCTCTAAGTCCCAAGAGCAATGAGGAGGCTACAGGTAAAAAAAAAAAAAAAAAAAAAAAAAAAAAACCAAAAAAAAAACCACAAGGACTTTGGAGGGTCGTTCCTTCCCAGAAACAAAGCCAGGCTGCAAGGAGGTGACATCTCCAACTGTGGCTGTGATCACACAAATCAATCTTCTCCCTGGGGGAGACACCTGTTCCTGGTGCTCCATGAGAGAGGCACATGGCCCTGACTTGGCCACAGCTGTGACTGCTTCTTTCCAGGACAACCGCTCTCATCCCTCCTTCACACGCCCTCCGCCCACGGCAGTGCTAGAAACCTTGTCCCTGGAGACTGTCATGGGGTCTCTCACAGCCTCTCAAGAGCAGAAGGCATCTGAGAACTTGTGCTTGGCCAGACCATGAGTTCTCAGTCTTGGCCACAGCTTGGAATCACCAAGGAAGCTTTTCCAAAGCCCAGCTTTTCCCTTGGGCAATGATTTTGGAGTATTTCAGGCAGGACCAAGGAAGCACTGGTTTGGAGTGTAAGTTCTGGTGATTCCGGTGTGTACCACCATTGAGAACCACTGACTTCAGAAACAGTGCTTTACAAGCTTCCGTGGACAAGAGGAGAACCTGAGCATTGTTCATGGATTCTGATTTATTAGGCCTGGGAAGGGCTGAGATTCTGCCCTGCTAACAAGTTCCCCAGTGATGCTATTGCTGCTGGTCTATAAGGGTCTAGAAGAATATGCTCTTGGCTTTCTTAATTTGCCCATTCTTTAGGAAAGCTGCTTATGCTGTGATTGGTGAAACATATGGCAGACTAGTTAGAAATCACTCATTTATCTACCATCCATCCACTCAACAATGTACTGTTTCAGAAACCAGTGACCCAGAGATTATTAAGAAGCTAACCTGCAGGAGAGCACAGGCTCTCGAAAAGAAAAAAGAAACAAAACCAGTCTCCACTATAAAAATGACCTATGCTGTACATGGGATCTTCAAAAAGTCCATTAAAAAATATGCCATTTTGAAAGAACAGCACCTGCACGGATGTGAAAACTTTTTCCACTTTTACTTTCCTTTTCCCACAATTTTTTTTTTGAATTATCTGTATACAGGGTACTACTACTTACGATTTGTTGTGTTCCGGACACTGTGCTAAACCTGCTTGGTTGATTATATTGCTTAATACAAAGACTTTTTAAGGCAGGCATTAGTATAATCCTCCAATAACAGGGCACGGCAAGGGGCCCACCTGTTGGGTTCTGCCTACAGTCCTACCAACATCATGCAGTTGTTCACTCCTTTGAGTCCCACATGAAGCATAAGCGACAATGGAAAAAAATCTGTGGAAATCAGGAGACAAGGGGGATAATTCCTCATACTCTTCCCCTGTTTCCCGGGGAATGGTGGATATGGTGGGGGTTCACCATCCCTGAAACTGTGCATTTAGCTTTTGAGGGGAGAAGCCCAGGCCCTCTCCCTCTGCCAGCACTGCTGGCACTGGTCTTTCATTTACTCCCTTAAAAACTGTATTCTTACACATAGCTTAAGGATGATAGTGCTTCCTAGGTGACAGGTCCTCCTCCAGCCACTGAACTGCAGTGCGTAGGTCTTAGAATCTACGTTCTGCTCCTGTCTGTCTGCTAGCACCCTACCACTTCTAGAAATATTCTCAAGCATGAAATGCAGGAAGGTGGGGTGTGTCTAATGACTCCATTCAAAGTGAGACACAAACTTCAGGACAGATGTGGACCAAGGGCTCAGAGGAGAGCACCGAGAATAGGGAGGACTGAGGTGCCATCACAGTTGTATTGCTTGCATACTGCATAACAGCACATGAAGACTGAGATTCAGCCTCACTTCATGTCCTGAGCATCGCCCCCGATGCAGGACTACAGTGGGGAAGGAAAGCTCTGTGCTGTTCAACAACGTGCCATACAGTTACCAAGCCTTAGATCACAGGCCTGCCCAGAGGGAGCCCTCTACCAGTGGAGGTCATGAGTGAGGGCGGGGGAAGAAGAAACAGACATGACTTCTAATAGCATCCTTGCTGTCCACCTGAATAATATTAATTGTTATTTTACTATTGATAGAATAGCTACTATTTCTGTACTGCCTACTATCTGTCAAAAATATGGTAACAAAAGCAAACCCTCCCCTCAAAATGCTGTATACTTGGCCTAACTTTTCTCAGTCTCAACAATAACTCTTTTTACGACTTGAATAACATTTTTACCCCTAATTTACAGATAAGGAAATTGAGGCTCAAAAAGCCAAAGAAAGAGCAGGAACTGAAGCATACTGCCTATATCTGATGAGGACAAGTCTCCTTGTGTTGGACTTGATTAGTTCCATGAAACAAAAAATCATTCACACCTCTGGCTCAGTAGAAAAATAATGAGCTGTTTTTAATTTCCTCAACCTCTGAGGACTCCTTTTATAGATGGCCAGGAAGCGTTTGGAAGACGCCTGCAGAGCCCCATCCGTGTACAGAAGAGGAACCTGCCAGCACCACACATGGCTCATTTCTGGTCAATAGTTAGATTTTCCATTTTCAGACCTTTAAGACAAACACTGACTCAGGCAAAACATCCTTATTTCCCATGCATGATCACTCCCGATTTCCACTGCAATGCCAGATGTTGGGTTTCTCCTTCCAGTCAAGCACCATTTGCATTCTGGAGGTTTTATGAGTTCTGTGTACAGGGCCAGAGGTGCGAGAAACTGACAGAGACCATGGTGCCTGGGGCCACATTCTGCCTGGGTGGGCTGAATAGGAGGCATCATTTAAAATATTTAACAAGGATTGAGCAAGGGATCACAGAACTGGAGGCCACACAGTTGGGGTTGGGTAGGGGTAGACTTTGGGATAACCAGACTACATTCCTAGGACTTGTGAGAGCGGGGAAAGGGTAGTTCCCAGGCTATCAAGGTGAGAACCTGGGAGTCAGGCTGAGAGGCCAAGGACATTCACACATGCATGCTTACATGTACCTGGTATGTGTTGAATGCCTTGTAATCATTCTATAGCTGAAAGAAGCATGAGGGCTCAATGCTCACATCACGGAAATGGGGATACTGAGGGCAGAGATGCAATGGGACGGGACTACCCAATGTTGTGCAGTTGCTATGTGATAGAGGCAAAATTAAAATCAGTGTACAGGTGGGTGAAGAACCACGTCATTAGCCACCAGGAAACATCAAGCAAATCCACAATGAGAAAGCACTTCATATCTCCCTTGGATGCTTATGACCAGGAAGACGGCCATTAACAAGGCTTAACCACGATGGGGGTGACAGGAAGGGCGGAGTTGGGGTGTAGTAGGTAAAGCTGCCATCTGTGACCCTGCCATCCCATACAGAAGCCGGTTCAAGTCCCAGCTATGCCGTTTCTGCTCCAGCTCCCTGCCGGTGACCTAGGGAAAGCAGCAGAAGATGCTCAAGTGCTTGGGCCACCCACGTGGGAGCCCCTGTTGAAGCTCCTGGACTCTGCGTGGCACAGCTCAGCCATTGTGGCCACCTGAGGAATGACCCAGCAAATGGAAAATCTCTTTTTTCCTCCCTCTAACTGACTTTCAAATAAGTAAATAAATCTGTCACTTTGGAAAACAGTCTGCTGGCCCCTCAGTGGGTTACACAGAATTACCAGGTGGCCAGAAATCCCACCCCCACAGATACAAGCAAGAGTACTGTAAGTGGCTGAAGGTACTTCAAAAAGATCATGTGCCTTACAAGAAAACTATGCATGTAGTTTGTTTGTTTCTTCCCCTCCTCCAGCCAAGACTCATACTAGGATCTGGGAATGCAAAATGGAACAGGATGCTACCATTTTTAGGAATGCTTGGGAGAACTAAAATAAACTTATTTTTAACTCCAATTTTCTGTAAATGTTCAGATTTGCTCTCATATGTCACACAAGAGTTGAACATGCATGCTCAAATATACCTCTCACAGTCAGAAACCTGGAAACACTCTCAATATCTATCAACTAACTTGTAAACAAAGTAGGTGTTATATTCAAACTGTAGAATATTATTTGGCCAAAAAATAAATTAAGTATGGAAGCATGCCCTATGCGGGGGTGGGACAGTGTTGTGGAGAGGGTTAAGCCTCTGTCTAGGACACAGCATACCATTTCAGAGTGGCTATTCAAGTCCTGGCTCCTTGACTTTGACTTCTCATTTAGCATCCCACTAACACACCTGGGAAAGCAGTGCTTGATGGCTCAGGGAGTCGGGGCCGTGCTACTCATATGGGAGAACTGGATGGAAAAGCTCTTAGCACAGCATTGTGCAGTGTGTGCTCTAAAGTCACAAATTTAAATAGAAAAAGGATAGGAGATATTCATGTGGCATCTCATATGGGCACCGGTTTGAGTCCCAGCTGCTCTACTTTTAATCTACCTCCCTGCTAATGCACATTGGAGGAAACTGGTTTTGGCCTGGTCCAGCCCCAGGTGTTGCAGCCATTTGGAAACTGAACCAGCGAGATGGAAGAACTCTCTGTCTCTCCCTTTCTTTCTCTGTTAACTGCCTTTCAAAGAAATAAAAACCCTAGAAAAAAGAAATAAAAAAAAAAAACTAGTAGTAGCAATGGTGCTTCTAATCAAGAATGAAAGTGGACATTTTTAGCAGATTATTTCTCTTCCCAGGCTAGCAGTTTCTCTCTGGCCCATTCCATCAATACCAAGAAATTGCCCACTCTGATAGATGTGAGTTTTCTTCTTAAAATGTAGCTTCTCCAATCCCCATGGGCTTCTGGGCGGCTCTCCCAGGGAGGACAGCCTTGCAGCCTCTGCAGGACCTGCGCGCACCAAGCATAGAACTCACATTGACTCCAACAACTGCATGTACTGCTCATCCCCGCGGCCTCCTTCCACCTCGTGGTCCAGCTTGAGGATGATTTCATTTTCAAACTGTAGCAGATGAAAATCAACAGTAACGTTAGAAGGCTGAGGTTAGTTCATTATTTTATCCAAGCCTCAAGAGAGTACCAACGATCTCTCCAGGTTAGTCCTGGGCTCTGGGAATGCCAAACGAAAGAGGACGCTACCTGTGCATTCTGGGAGTTCTCACAAAAAAGAGAGGGGAAATTGGTGTTAAGTGCTGAGAAGAGAGTAGCAGGGGAGAAGAAGGGAAGTCAGGTAAATTTTCTAAAACCTGTATCATCTGGGCTTGCTCCCAAATGTTAAGGAGAAACTGTGTAGGAAAATGACACAGAAAATGGCATCCCAAGCAGTGAGCACAGATTACACAAAAGCATGGGGCCATTTGACAGGACACCCTAACTCAGGGGCTGGCATGCTGGCATGAATAGTTTCTGTCTGCTTAATCCTTCTGCATCTCCATCTCTCACCCCACAGCTCTCTACCCAAGGGGCTCCCAGCTTTGGAAACCTGACACTGGTCAAGCTCCCAATGCTTAGATTTTATTGCTCAGACACCAAGATTAATAAAGGCCCAGGCCAAGCCACTGAGATTCTAACAGGAGGCTTTCTTGGAACTCAGAGGAAAAAAAATGAGTGCTTCTGCTAAACTTGAAAAAGAGAAAACTCCAAACCTGAGGCTGCTGAAAATGAGAATCACACACATGCAAAGGGAAACAGAGGAGAGAGGTCAGAAAGTCTACGACCCGAAGCTCTTCTTGAGCCTCTGGATTCAGCGACCCCTGCAGCCTTCTCTTTATGGGTCGAGTGTATGTGTTAACTGACTCACACACACGTTTCTATTTGTCAGTATATGAGCCAATCTCAACTGCCGTTCTGTTCCTGCAACTGAAAAAGTGGTGAGAAATACTAACATGTAGGGCAACTGATAGGCCCCAAAGAGCCCAAACTGGTGACACTTATAAACAACAGACAGAAGATGAAGAGTGACCAAATTGCAGGTTTCTAATACAGTTCTGCCAAATCCGGTTGTTCTGAAGTCAGAGGATGCTTTGTCTTCCCAGTTTCAGATTCAAGCAGCAGGTCCCCCAGTGGGGGTGCGTGGCTTAGTCATCATATTTTCATGAAGGGTCAGACTGTGACGCACATGATTTTACTGAAAAACATCCTGTACACGTTTAGAATAGAACCCTGAAGAGTCCACTCACATCATGCCACCTACCTCTGCCCATCTAACCATCAGCAAAAAAAAAAAAACTGGCACCTGGAGAGTGGAAGGATGTCCTTGGGAAAGGTCACCAGGATGAAGGGAGGCTTTGGAGACTCTGGGGTCCTAACTAGGCCTCTTTTGCACTCACAACCGTCTGTGAAGTCTGGAGGTCATGGGTCACTTTTAAATGTAATCGTGCCTGAAAAGCAGCCAGCCTCAACTTGGCACAAGCTCCAGTTAAGTGTCAGCTATCATTACAGATGAAGAGGTAGAGGCTTGGAGAGTTGAAGTGACCTGTCTAAAGTCTCAGATGAATGGCAGAGATTTTTTGCCAGGCTCTTTTCAGTGTGTAAAGGATTGAACCCAGTGGAGGTAGACTCTTCAGTTGATGAAAAGCCAAGGCTGAAACTCACTTTCCTCTGTAATTCACATACCATCCACGAGGCCACTGCTCCCTCACCTTAGGGCACTAAGGATCAAAGCAAGGGACCAGGAGCTTACGCTGAGGACACACAAAGGACAAAGGACTTCCTGCGCATTGCCCAGGTGGGAAGGACATAATGAGGCAAGTACACTAGCCCTGACGGGTAGAAAAGGGAGGGAGCATTCTGGTTGGGGGAAATGTAAGTAAAGGTGTGCAGGTGGAAAAGTAAAACATAAAGAGCAATTCACGGGAACAGAGACAGCGAGAAATGTGGAAGAGCGGGAGGCAGGAAAGAAGGAAAAGGAGAAAGAAGGGGAGGAAAGAGGCATAAAAAGAAGAAAGGGGAAGGGAGTGGGAAGGTGGGAAGGAGGGGAGGGGTAGGAGACAGAAGGAGGATGGAAGGGAGGGAGGGAGGAAGGAGTAGAGAAGGGGAAAAGATAGTCCTAGATAGGGAACACTCCGGCAAGGGACTGGGCTGCCTGACTGCCAATGGGTCACGCCCCACATAGGTGGGCTCTTATGGAGTATTCTGCTTGTACTACGTGTTTTTCAAGGTTGTCTTTCATGTCAAGCCTAGGGTAGGCAGAGATAGCAGAGGGAGGGTAAGAATGGGCTGTTCTCTGACTGTAATTGCTTCTCCTCCTTCATTCCTCCAGCATCTTGGGGGAAAGCCTGTGCAGCTTTCTAATCCTCAGCTTCATGATTTATGTCAGGAGTCAGCAAAGGGCCAGCCAGGAAGTATTTAAGACAGCCACAGTCATGGCTGTCCTTGCACCACTCTGCTGTTGTCCACAAAAGGCATCCACTTGGTTGCATCCCAATAAAACTTTATTTACAAAGGTAGGTAGAGGATGGATTTGGTCTGCAGGCTATCATCCGTGAACCTCTCATGAATGTCATGGGCATGACAGGAGTAGCAGCAGCATGGAGAATGCTGATGAAGGTGCATAAGCCCCAGTGTGCACAAGGCTGGCTTCCCTGATTCTTGCTGCTCCTCTTACACTTATCACTGCTGGGTGTTTCTGCAAAACAGCTCTTGGGAGACAACCAGTGTTTTCTCTTGTCTGAGTGGTTCATTGGGAAAAGCTGGCACGGTTCCCCTAGTGAGATGAACTTGTCTTTGGAGCAGAAAGTAGATGGGGTTAATAAGCACTTGCCTCAGGGTCACAAAAGAGCCTGCAGTGGTTGGGGGCGGGGGTTGAGGAGGCGGTGGAAATTGCAGGGTGCCAGCAGTGAGTATAGCCTGATTGTGCCACGCAGTGTCTGAGCCCAACAGGGTGGGTTTGGGTCAGCTCCATCCAAGGGCAGTGCTGTGCAGGGGAATGGCTATGACCTCAGGCTGTGGCATCAGACAGGATTAGTCCAGTTTTGCTTTACTTGTGTCCTTGGGCAAGTGAATACATTTCTTTGGGGGCTGCATTTTCTCACCTATTCAACAGAGATTGGAGTCAGCACCCACTCCTCAGTGGTGCTGTAAGGAGTTAGTGGAAAATCAAGTGTACAAGGCCAAGCGCACAGCTGGTGCACCGTAAGGGCTCCTCTGCTATGAGCAGCGATCATCATGTTACTGTCACTGCCATCAGCATTAGCATCATGATCTCATTTAGCCTTCACAATAGCCCAGGGAGATGAGCGGCATCGTCCCTATTTTAACAATGAGGAAATTGAGGCAAAGCAAGGTCTTTGTCAGGGGTTTCAAGGATGAATGGATTTAAGCACGGGAAGAAACCTTGTCCAAACTCAATCTCTGCCACATAACTATGACAGGTGGTCCCAGCATTATTCCTGTGTAGAACTTAACATGCAGTTCTGGCTCCTCTGAACTGGCTCCATCTTCCCCCAGCTACATGACGGCATGACTGTACCTGACTCCTCTTCCCAGCCTGGAGAGCTGGGTGTTATTAAGGAAAAGCCAGACACGAAGATGTAGCAACCCTAGTCAAGAAACAGAGTACACCCAGGAACCCACACCTCTTCATGAGCCTGGTCTGACAACAGAATGACCAATCCTACGCTTCCCCTTTGCCTTCCCTGTCTTGCCTATGCTGCCTCTCCTGATTGGTTTAGAATATCTCGACAATTTTCATCATCTTGGAAGCTTAGCTTTTTGATAGCAGTCTTGTAAACATCAAGTGTGGGGTTTAGAGAGTGAGGACTCTTCCATGCTGACTTCCACAGGGGAAGGATAAAGATGGTGCTGTAAGCCTGAATGTCAGAGACAACAGGGAAGATATGTGAACTCAGCCTTCGGTCTCATTTGTTAACAAAATGTCTTTGATCGTGAGGAGAGGCAGAGGCAGAATGGGGAAGAAGGTAGAGTCATGTGAGAAGGAATGACTGTGGGAGCTGGTGCAGAGTGCTAAAGTTCTTCTGTAGAAGAAGAAATACACGGGCATCCACAGAGGAAATACCACTCAGGCAAATGGTGGGAACAGTGGGAGAGCAGTGGAGGTGGAGACAAGTGTTGGAGAGAATAGCTGGCATGTTCATCAGCTGGCGGGAGCAGGGAGGAACTTGAATGCTTGCTTCAAGGTGTGGGTTGTCTTGGCTAGGGGATCAAAGCACCAATGACGAAAAAGGACAGTTGACATCTCTGAGCATCTGCAGCAAAGCCAGTTTATGGAATGGGAGGCAAGAAGAGAGAGGGAGGCAGAGGAACCCAGTTAGGGATAAAGCTCAATGAGAAGGTGGGTCTCAAGGAGTATGGGCTGATGCAACTGCTTCGGTAACACTGTGGGTGGGAAAGAGCACCCTTCCCAAACACAGTTTGTAAATCAGATCCAAGAACCCAATGTGGGAAACAAGGGAATCTTCTCCTGCATGCGTTTCTAGAGTGACTGGTCCTAGGAAGTAGTCCTCACTCTTCAGGTATGGTGGGATTTCAATGAAAATATGTGGCTGTGGCTGACAGAGGCTTTGGTCCCTCTGTGTCAGGCAAGCCTTCTGTTCCCCTCCAGACTCCATTTGCCTTCTCCCGTGTTAGGCACCCATGTGTAATGCCTAGCAGGGTCAGCTTTTTCTAGATAATACAATTCTTCAGTCATCCCAGGAAGTTGACATGTCAGACAAGGAAGATAGTAGGTGAGGCCTGGGGGAAGGCCAAGGCCTTGCAACACACCTTGGATAAGCCATAGGTGGGAAATCAAAGATATCTCTGTTTTTGAAACAAGGACCCAGCACACACAGGGCAAGAAAGGGCATTTGAATCTTGGCCTTGGGCAGAGAAGCGTGATAGAATACTGACCAAATCTGATCTGCCAGCTCATTCTGGGTCCATGAATAAATGTCCCTGTGCTCCCGCCGAGCCTCTGAACGAAGCTCAGGCAGATGGAACGAGGATATCATTATAGGGAAATAGGCTGGGGATTAGGGAAGCTGGCATGAATTTCCAACCTCATTTTTTACCTTTTTGAAATCTCCACTCCTTTGATATTCACACAGCATCATGTCGAAGAAGATTGGTATGGTGGCTTTCCGGAGCTCAGCCTCAGGGATAAGTGTCATCTCTAATATAGGACCCACCATGCCTGGGATAAAGCAGATTTTGTTCTGGCCTGAAAGAGAAGAGGGAGGGGTTCTCTTCAGACCAAGCTTGAAGAAAGCAAGGGCAGGAAGGGTAACAGTGAATGCATACACAATTGTTTACCAAAAGGCAGGCTCACGGGGAACACCTTACATGTATTATTGCCGTGAAGTGGCACATGCTTCATCCCGAACCGACCACGGTATTAAGGATAATCATGTGGATGTGCAATGCTCCTTACTGTTTACAAGGCTTTTCACCTGCATTATCACTTCTGCAAATGGGCCTCTGACTGAAACTGTGAGGGATGGCACAGAGGTGTGTGGAATTCTGCATCTGTAAAACTCGTTTTTGCTAACTGTTCCCAGAAATGAGATGGGCCAAACTCAGTGCGAAGAACCTACTATGGCAGTGTGGCCAGGGGAAGGGTGAGGTTTCAGACCCCTCAGAGTCAGAGGAGCCACAATTTCTTCCTCTCCTGCCTCATCTCAAGGCATCTCCATGATCCTTTTCCTTTACACTCTGCATGGTGGCTTGCTTCCAAGGTCCTAAAGCTGTCTTGCCATTTGAGGGTGGGTCAAATGAGCAGAACCGAGCAGATGTTTCAGGTCACACATATCAGATGCTGCAGGTGTGAGGAATGAAGGGGAGCACTCAGGAATTTTAGGGATTTCTGGGGAGTTGGGGCAGGTGCATTCAAGAAAAGCTGACACCTCAGGCATTGCACTCACTCATCTCTTTCTCTTCCTGGGCTTCATAGCCCACCTGGGTTTTGCCCACTGTCAGAATGAACAGTTGTGGTTTTTGCCTGGGGTAGAGAATAGAGAGTTCCTGGTGGGTACCCAAACCTAGGTGGTATGGCATGTAGCTTGGTGCAGTTACTTTCAATTTAAGCTGAGAGAATAAGCCGACAGGGAAGGCAGCAAGAAAACAAATTTTCATTCAGCCAAAATTAGGCTTATTGTTGGGAGTATTTCCCCAGAATACAGATAAAAAAGGCATCATCCCAGGGATATTTTCAGTTTCTAAGAATGAAGTGGTGATGTCAGATAGGCAGAGAGTTGAGTGAAAGACGAGGAAACCTTTACAGGATATCTGCTTCATTATGGGACACATTTGGATTACATTTGAGCCTAGAGTCTTTGCACTGGCCCAAACAGGATTGGGACAAAAATCATTCTTTCAGGCAGATTTGTAATAATTGCTAATCTAGGTTTCTGATTTTTGTCCTTCAAGATCCTTTAAGTCTTTTCAAACCACAATGGGGTTTTAAAATTCAAAGTCAAGTGCAATAATAGGTAGTAGGTAAATAGGAAACTACCAGATAAGCCACCATGGGATGGAGAAATTGCTTATACAACAAAGGCCTTTGGAATACTGGAGGACATTGGTCATGATAAGGATTTATCGAACATGGTTTAAAATAGAAGGCAGTAAACTATGGACTTGGGATTTCTCTGACACTTTTGACCTGCACTCTCTGTAGATGGTTGAGGTGATATTTGACAGAATAGGGAAAGCGAAGAAAAAGAGATGTTGATCTCTAAATGCACTGTGATCTCAATGGCCTTACAAGGCTCCCTAAAGAAAACAGATTCCTTTACCTCTAAAATGAAATTTCAGCACATTGGATTTTGTTTTCAGATATACCGAATGTATTCATATGAGTGCACACATCTTTATATATGCGTGAATGTACACACACATGCACGCACACACACACACATACACACATCTGTGGCTAATTGAGTAAGGACTCATTTGTGGAAAAGAAAATCTGGTATTCAAGAGTCACAGCTGCTGCTGTATTTGAGAAGAGGAAGGTAAATGGCTAGAGGGTCTTTTATATCAAGGAAGCTGAATCTCACTGGAATAGGTGCCAATTAGAAAAGGCTGTTACACTGGCAATGAGCAGGCAGGATAAATCCAAACGCTGAGTCACACAGGTTTGGGGGAAGGATCTGGTGACAATGAGCACTCAGAGAAAACAATTTAGGTGTGTGAATAGGAAGGAATCTCAGTGTTCTCTGGCTTCTAACTCATAAATGGCCTCATCCACCTCTTCGCTAAGGAACAGACTAAGAAGGGTCAGAGGTTGCTAAGAAGGTGATCTTTGGAGGGAGGGAAGTGCGTGTGTGTGAGAATAATGTTTGAGCACTTGACTGTGAATATAGTTGAGCAAGTCCCTGACCCCAGGAGGATGAGACTGCACGGCTCTTCCAAGGCTGGCATAGATCCTGAAATGAACGTGGATGAGGGCAAGTTAGAATCTTCCAGATTTCAGAGCATCCTAGAGCAAGCATTCTGGAGACTCAGAACTAAGGCTGGGCTTAGTGAGCAAAACAAACAAACAAACAAACAAACCAAACCCATTCAGTTTAAAAGTGTGAGAGTGAACACTGTTTTCCGTAGCCTTCCATCCATTTTAGGCATGGGCAGGTTCCCTCCTGGCCAGGCAATCATGTCTCTGCTCATGGCTCTGCAAGGGTAGAGGCTCAGATTTCCACCCCGGCCCTTATAGTCTGGCAGCTGGACATGCTGGGTCAGGTGCCATCTCTGGCCCTGCTTGTGACTTAATGCCTCTAAACCTCCACAATCCCCTCTGTAAAATCAGAAAAATATTAATATCTGCCTTTTGAAACTGTTAAGAAGCTCTGTAGAATGGATTACACGAATGTCTTTGCACAGTATCTGGACGTGCAGATGATAGTGGTAGTCAGCGGCACAATGCAACATAAAAACATATCATCGAACCTCATGGAGCTGCCTGAGCTTTGCATGGAACTTTCCCATGCCAGTTACCCTTTCGAGCGAAGACTTGGTCTGGGAAAGAGTTGGGATGGATTTACGCTGTCTGCCATGGCTGCACTTTGCTCTATGCCATTAAACTGTTTTTGTCGTCTGTCCTCAAGGATGGTCAAAAAGCCCCAGTTGTATTATGCTGATGCACAGCTTTCCATGGCTTCTGGTACTCTTGGGGTTAAGACAGGCAGGCCATCTGGTCCAGTGCTCCCTTTCCATATCCTGTCTCTGGCCTTCTGTTTTGTCTTCCTCATATGGAATCGTCTCCCTCCACTCAGCACACCTGCTTCTTCCTCCCCAGGCCTTCCGTGTCACAATGCCCTTGCCATCCTCTCCTTGGTCCTACTCTGACTCCTACCCAACATAAGCCCCAGAAGTAAAGCCTTCCTCCTTCTCTATAGCCACACTATTCAATATGAAAGCTACCAGCCACATGAATCCTCTAAGTCGCTGGCAATATGACTAGTGCAACTGAAATGTACTATAGTTATAAAACATCCACCAGATTTCAAAGGGTCAGTTCTAGTAGGGAAGAACAAATATCAAGTCTGTTGTACACTGGTTATGTGTTGAAGCAATAACATCTCGAAACATGAAAAACAAAATACAGATAGTTTCTGGCTTATAATGGTTTGACTTTTTTTAAACTTTACAATAATGTAAAAGCTATATGCATTCAATGGAAATCACATTTTGAATTTGGGATTTAGACCTTTTTCAGAGCTGGCAATACGTGATCCAATCATCTCATGTGGGCCTATGGGGGCAGGCACAGCTCTTACTTTGCACCATGGTCATGGACAGAAACACCCAGCATCCTTCAGGGGGATGAGTTGCTTAGCTGTAATGTTCAGCAGGCTAGACATATTCAGTGCACTTTTGATCTCATGAAATTTTCAACTTATGGTGGATTTATTAAGATAGAACCCTCAGTGTAAGTCAAGGAACATTTGTATCATTAAAACGGACATGAATGCTTTTAAAACATAGACACTTTAGTTTATACGCTTAAGCAGGTGGTTCACATTCTATTTCATGTAGGATGGCAGGCGTACAGGACCCTGGCAGTAGCTGTGGCCTGTGGCACACTTGCTAGGCAGAAGTCATAGAATAGCTGCCTTGCATTCAGTTTGCCTTTGCAACCATAACTAAATAACTCTGCCACCAGCAATGACAATGATCCATGAGGTCAGAAGCCGCATCTCTGACTGGTTCTCCATTCTCACCCCAGCCACTGGCACACTGCCTGGCATGGAGAGGGTGTTCATATTAGTTTCCTGTTGTTGCTGTGATAAATCATTGCAAACTTAGTATCTAAAAACAACACAAATTTATTATCTTCCATTTCTAGGGGGGTGAGAAACATGTAAACAGTTTCATTAGGGTAAAGGAATTCCAGGTATGGGCAGGACTGAGCATCTTTCAAAAGAGCTCCTCTTGCTTTCCAGCTTCTAGACGTTGCTTCTGCTCCCAAGCTCACGGCCCCTTCCTCTTTGTAGCCAGCAGTGTAGCTTCTTGAAATGTCACCCTAAATCTGACTCTCCTGCCTCAACTGTTTCTGTGTAAGAATGCCAACATTGGGTGCATCTACTCCATGGAATATTTCACAGACATAAAAAAGATGAAATTATATCACTTGCAACAAAATGATTCCGGCAGGAGACCACTGTGCTCAGTGAAATTAAAGCCAGTTTTAAAAGGACAAATATCATATGTTCTCTCTGATTGGAACAAGCTTCCTGCATAATGTAAAACAAGTAGACATATATGTAAACATGTATATACATATATTTTCATAGATTAACTATATAATGGAGTCTAACATACCAGGAAGTGAGGATATGTTGCAATATGCATCTCTACTCCTGAATAAGAGGAGAATTCCCAATGAAACAGTTAATATACCTTGACAGTATAATACTAGATTTTCTTCCTTTGCCTAAACCTAAAATGCTATGATACACTTAAATAGCAGAATATTAAGCTTGTAACTGTTACTAATGGATTATAATACTGTGATAATATGGGGGGAAATAATGGAAGGGGAAAATGAGAAAGGTAAGAGGGAGGGAAGAATCCCTATACTTATAATAAAATTGAATCATGGGAAATAGTAACAATTAAAAAAGAAAGCTGACATTGGTTTGGACTCATGTAAATGGTAAAGATATATTCACCATGTTCAAGACCCATAATTCGATCGCAAAGTTCCTTTTGCCCTGTCGGGTC